GGGGTCTTGGTCAATGGCGCATGGAATCAAACAAGGAATCGATGCGACCTTCTTCGTCTCGGTACCGAAGATGTGGGGGAAACTGGTAGAGAAGGCCGCGGCAGACTGTGTGGCACAGAAGTGGAACTCGCCAATGTTGTTGCTGTCGTTAAACCCGAATGTGCCCTTGACCTGGTTGATTGTAATTCTCTTTGCCATCCGGCACATGTTCTCGTAGAAAGCACCACCAATGAATTCGAAATCACTGAAGATAAAGGTCTTCTTCATATCGAATCCAACAGCAATGATATCCTTGGCGTTTGCTTTTGTGTATCTCTTGGAGTCCTCAATCTCGATCTTCTGAGAATGCATAAACTTCTCGTCGTCAGTCATCATTATAACGAGGGGAACATCGAAGACGTCCTGGAGCCATCTAAATTTGCATCAGTTTCCGGTATCTGCCCAAATGGTCATCGAGACTAAACATACTTGGTGAACTCGAACGGCACAGTGTGTCCAACGTGCATGCTGTCGCTACTCGGCCCACGGCCAGTGTAGAGGAAGAATGGCTCGCCCTTCTCATGCTTATCCAGAATCTTCGACAGATCACGGTGACTGAACACGATACTCCGGCGCATGAAGCGGTGTGGCCGATGGCCAGTCACTTTCTCAAAGCGCTCCAATAGAGCTGCATTGATGGGTGTGGCTCCAAATTCCCTCGTGAGCTTCTCGTAGTCGACCGGCAACAGCTTGCCAGATTCATCAACTCCTCCGGAGACATCGAAGGGCGTCACGACCTGGCCAACGGCCTTGCTGTCTGGGGTTTTCTCGTTGATGCTCAACGAGTTGAGCGCCGGAGGCTGCGTTGCTTCGTTGGCCATGGTGGTTTCTTCGTCTGATATAAACTAGTCAGTTCTTTAAGTTTCCAATTGGGTCAGTCAAAGGCCAGTTCTCACTTTATTTTATGGTTACGAAAATCGTGAATTTCTTTTGTTGCCCCTCTCCAATCTTCCAATATCGCGGGATGAGTCAGAATTCCCACTATCAGTGGGCACTCTGATTGGTCCATTTTATACATTATCAGGTGACCGGTCCTAGCCCCGCCAAAGCCCTCTTTTGTACTTCTTAATGCTTTCTTGTTCAATCAAATTTGAGTCAATAAAAGCGTGAGGCTCTCCATTAGATGAGGTAGGTATCTCCGGTGTGCCTGCATTGGATTCAAGGTTTATATTTATAAGTAGAGTGTCTCAAGAGCGATCGCCGCCGAAAATATATAACACCAGAGGTTCGAGTATATTTTTCTTATTAACGACAAAGAAAACCAGATAAATCTAATTCTCATTCATATCTACATCCTGTGGTAATATGTCTGAAGCATACATAGGTAGAGCGTTTTCAGGACCCCCACGATAGTACACAGAGACTTGAACAACTTTGGCTTTCACCCAGCAATGTAGGAAGTCTAACCTTTCCCCCGTCGTCTTTGTATTATTGGTGGCCATAAGATGCGAAAGTCACATTATGCACTATTCCAATGTTTGCAAATGAGCTCTCAGCAGAGTCAGCCATACAGGCTTGACCATGTAGAAAAGGTACTTTATAAGCGCCTGTCCATGTCAGGTAGCCTTAACTCGAGTATCGGGCTTTGGGCTACTCAAAGCTCCCAGAAAGTAGTCACATTCTAGCCGCATAGCCGTTAAACACGCCAGATTCCCAAGACAATGAATAGCTAGTGCGGTCACAATATCAATGACGTCCATCTTCCAGCGCCGATCCTATCTCTCAAGACCAGCGTTCTAGGTAGTAAGAAAGACATTTCACAAAGAAACACCGGCTATCGCTTTGGAAATCCGAGCGGCAGTCAACAGCATAGGATCCAGACCTAACAACCCTCTACCTATCCTGAATTATATCCTCGCCCATCTAGAATCCCTCCTGGTCTTGATGATCATTGCCCAAAGCTATGTATTGTGGTCTCCATGCTCTCATGAGAAGTATCTCGAGTGTAATCTATGATGTGTATGTATGACTACAACAGCAAACAGATAGGTTATCTTTTTCTCGCATGCAGCGGGGCACTGTCTTTTTGGTGTTCACAACTGGAGCATTCTTGAACTGGCTGTTTCGACAACCGGCGCGGAAGATGAACCTGGACCCGGACATGGATATACAATCTGTGCTGGAGTTTCTTATTGAGAAGCTGAGGCTTCAGCCAACTATTTTGGGGATCAGCTGTCAATCAGATGGGCAGGACGCTACTCATGGATATCCACCCAAACTCCCCCGCCGCTATAGGAGCAACCTCCAACCTCGCTCGGTGTCTATTGGACTCTGGCAGCTCGGTCGCTATGCTTCTACTTATGCACAAGATAGGCAAGGATTAGCTGTACATGCTCCCTGGCGTGGCTTGGGCATTTTGTAAGATTTCACTGGTGGGTTGGTGAAAACAGCTTCGAAAAAAGCGACGGTCCAGAGCCAGCATGATCCAAGGATTGCTCTGTGATTGCTCTCCAGTGGAAGCGAGAAACTTTGCTAGGGCACCCCGGCTTCCCGCATGCTGTCGGCCCAATACTCCTAGTCCAAATGTGATATAGGTGCGCTGTACTCCGTACTCCGTATGGAGTATATCAGCCCACTTTTCTAGTTCACAGTAAGCACTTACTCCAGCCCACCAACCACTACCCGCCTTGCCCCGCGCACCCGCATCGGGTACCACCCCATCCCACCACATAATTCCCTCAACCCGAAACTCCATGCAGCAAGCCGCCGCTAAGCACGCCTTATTCGACGGGCCTGCAAGCCACTGTATGCGACAGGCTAAACCCCCTTACGCCAGGCTATCGAGTAAATCTCCACAATGCGGAAACCAACCGATTGTACTCCGTATAATTGGTGACATGTGTCGGTTAGTACCAGGTCAGGATGATGAAGTAGTAGACTTCGGATGTGTGGGGCACTCATGTTTGAGATCATGCCGGCAAGCTTGTCTTTTCGGTCTGCTGCAGATGCTGGTCGCTTTTTTTTTTATAAGGCGGAATACCATATCAATAGTTTTGGTCTATGAGGGAGAAAGAGTTGGGATTTGGTATCAACTTTCGGGGCCGTGGGAACTCCGAAGGGGTCCGGTTGACACGTAGCTTTGTCATGTTGGGTGGTTGAGGCCGTGGGAAAGGGGATCCGCTTGCTTTGTTGGCTGTGCGTTTTGTGCAATCTCGGTTTTATTTTATTTTACATTTTTTTGAGATTTGGATATATCCCGAATAGGATTCCAGGGTTGGTTTCACTGGGTCAGATAATTTCCGTGGTGGGGGGGAGGAGCCGAGGCTATGGTCTCATAAATTCCTTTTTCCCGTGCACTTGGACTCGAATTTGAATTTGGACTATAGACTCCTCGCTAGTAAGTTTCACTCTCTCTCATGTAGTACGGAGTACAGCAGAAAGGTCCAGGAGGGTGCAGAACTGACGGTATGCAAGGGCAAAGGGCAAAGCTGCCGAAATTCACTGCAACCTCGATTTACTTTCCAGTATTCAGAATGGTAGGCATACTTATTAATATCAATATATTATTCGCCACTTACAACCCTCAGAGATATTTGATTCTAAATATACATATTTCAAGTGGTGTGAAGAAGATCAGCTCTAGATATGCACCTGGGCAAGGTACGCGATAATGAAACCAAAGCCAGCCCATTCTGCAGCTAGCCCAATCAAGTCTAATGGTAGGTTGCCCCAATTTGCTTTTTGTGTCTTTATTAGTTCGTCTGCGACTCTAACGGGTCATCGTATTGTTCAGATGTCCCTCTGCCTGGGGGATTATGGTTCACCCAATAAAACGATAAAATAAATATCTCCTGTTCTAAAGATATCCAATTCTGCAGCCTTGTAACCGAATGCGTCACTGTTCCGGCAAAGGGGTAGCTTGGACAGTAATCCAAGACATGCACACACCCCAGACCATCATGAGGTTGTATCAAGCACCTAGAATATGTTATAAGGAGATTCAGCGTAGTGTGCCAACCAGTCAGCGTCAACGGTTTCCTCCCTCCACGCGTAGTGATAGGTGTCGGGTGATGCGGCGGACCAGGCAATACGGATGGTGGTTGGCTGAATGGAATCTCCTATCCAGCTTAGGGACAGATTAACTTTAGCAGAAGGATGTAGACGGATGACATGAGTCGGTACATAGTCGGGACGTCACTGTGTTGAGTCAAGACGCGTGCGAATCAGAAATGACCATCTCGACGCATGACACCCCCGGTTACTCACTTGCAACTGGACGGGAATCTTCACCCATTTTCACATTTTCACTCTGGGCGCCCACTCTCTAAATCAAAACAGGATTATCTTTGTGATATGAAGAAGTCATTATTTTTTTTTTGAAGTCTGGCCCTTGGAAGGAGCTTATGGGTCACCGGGTAGTTGCGCGTGGAGAGAGATGTACCTGGGTGAAATATTGGTTTCACAGGTGCCTGGCCCGGAGCTTTTAAGAAAGGCATTTCCTAGTTCTCACTGTTTCTTTTTTTTTTCCTCTCACATTTTATCCAATTTCCAAGGGTTTCCGTATCTTATTGGGGATCGAAGGAGCTCCACTATTCAAGCGGCACATTCGTCATCCCGTCCCCCAACCTTGGATATAGCCTCGAAAGAGCATTCTGGATGTTAAAGGAACCGGAGTCCTCGGACTCAGATTATACCTAGTAAGAGATTTTTTTGTATTTTTTGCATTTTTTTCCCTTTATTTTCCCAGTTTCTGTGTTATTTTGTCGTCATTTGCAATTTCTTGTGTTCTATTCTTAATATTTGGTGGAGTTTCCCCCCGCAAGTGCTTAATGCACACTAACCAGGAAAAATAAAAACCAACAGATGCGAAAACATTCTCCCCCAGATTCCCCTTTTTCATTTTCCCCTTCATCTTCTTCTTCATCTTCTTTCTACCTATCATCACGTAGTAGTTCATTTTCCCCAAGTAAGTGGCTCAATTACATATCCATTTGATTATCTTTCCTATTTTGAGGTTCCGGATGTCTTTCCCCCTCTTTCACCATTGGCCTACCCCCCTGTGGGTTCTATATTCTCAAAACTCTACCCCCTCGGTGACATATATTAAACATATTCTGTCGGCTATCGCGATACGCTTTCATACATTCCTCGCTAAACACGTGTGGCATTCTCATTTCCATGCTAATCAAAGTTTAGGCCTATCATTGGCCTCGCACCGGCGCTCAGCATTCCAACCAAGAGATCATCTTGAGAGTCTGATCACGAAACACGGCTACCCCACACCTGTGTCACTCTCCTCCCTGCGAGATCTGACAGCCACCTCGTCTACTTATACTCCCCCTTCGCCACCTCGTCGGTCCCGTTATCCGGATACCATTCCGATCGACGGTTTTGACTCGCTTACCTTATCCTCATCCACGAGACCCATTCCTATCCCAAGACGCCCCGGTCCAGTATACGAGGACCTTCCAGTGACACCACTCACCGGTCGATTCGATCACGACTCTTATTTTGACGATTGGGAACGTGCGTCTCAATCCGCCAGGTCCCGACAAATCCCTTCAATCCGGCCTACCCGTCGCGGCCAGTATCCATCGCAGCCCCCACCATCCTCGACAAGGATGCGTTCTGATAACTCACCTTATTACTCCCCGGCTGCCTCGCCTATCATGTCTCCACGACGCTCACATTCTCCCCAACCAACTCGCTCTCGGACCCAGAACCCATCTAAGGCCAAGCAAACCCAAAACTTTCATCTCGGCAGCCTGCCCCGGTTCCATCCCGCCGTATATCAGTCGAGCAGTACTTCTCACAACGCCACTGCTGCCCAGCCTACATCTCCTCGCCAATCTCGGCAGTCTTCCTACCGCACTGCAGCCGGGTCACGCGACATGGTGTGGCAGTACCGTGAGTTCATCGAGGGCGTCCACCAAAATCCGTCCGCGCCCCGTTTGGATCCTCTGGTCAGCCCGGGCCCCGTCACGCCCCTGGCGCTAGAGGCTGGTGACTACCTCGCCCATGGCTCGATGAACAACACATCCGAGCGGACTCCACGAGATGTCCCAAAGAACTCCGGCCCTCCGGCTGAGCTGGTGGAGAAGCTCATTGCCTATGAAGAGAAGGCTCGGCAGATGGCTCGAAAGTCCGCCAAGGGCCGGTAAGAGACCTATCCCACCCCGGCTTTGCATCAAAAGGTTCTTTCTGTTTATTATCCATTAGAGAAGTGGGAAACACTTCGAATCCTTTTTTCGTGTCTGTTCGTTTTATATCGACTTTTTGGTGTTCTGGAACAAAATGAGCTCACCCCACAAGGCTGATACAGCGTGCATGGGGCCTTTTGTTTTTTTGTTTTTCCTTTTCTGCTTTTTTGGTTCTCATTTTTGCATTCTCATCATTCTCACTCGGTATGATCAAATATCCTCGGCCTCAGCCGACTACTTCGTTTGATCTTGCATCACGACATCATGTATCTAAATTATATATACCCCGCTCTAGTCCAGTCTCTGGACCTTGGCATATCCAAGTGGAAGCCAAGTATCAACCTTCAATACGAAACATTATATCGTAGTTCTTTTTTCCCTTTCTTGATTTAACCACACCACAGTAACAGCTACCCATCCGGCGCTATGACCGGAGTTCTCTAGGCTGTCGAGGGCCAATGTCCTCTGAGGCGCGGTGAACAGACATGTTGGTCTAGCGGTTTGACACTTGGATGTGTCCGTTCGATCATATACGCTTCATTTGGAGTCCACCGTGCCTTCAGCATTGCCCAGATATCGAGTACCTTTCAGATCTCTACGTAATTTGGGCAAAGACTTTTATCTTTTTTTTCGGACCCTGTACGGCTTTTCCCTAGCAGGCTTCCACTAAGTCCTGCCCTGTTGTCTTTGGGATTGGTCCCACGTAACCCAGGTTTTATAGGGATCAGATAAGAGATGATATACTCTACCTAGGTACACGCAAACTCTCAAAGTTAATCCCCAGGTTTACTACTCCATATAGGGCTAGCTCGAAAGCCACCTCCAATTTGTGCCTAAGGCATCACACAGGATTCGGAGGAACACTCACTCTCCCCGAGAGGAATCTGCGGGGCCCAAACGATCATTAAAACAACTCCCCTCGATAATATTTTTCTCAATTACTCCATTACTTTATACAATTATATATATACCCCGGCTTCCCCAGAAAAGACGCGCCATTCTACAAAACCCTCCTTGGCAGCCTAGCAACCACAAATCACTCTATCCTTACTATCCTTATCGGCATCCGTCACCACATTTCGATTTGATCGCCCGCGCGTTGCGCACGAGCACCCTACGATTTGCACGAGGCGTCCAGTCCGTGACGCATTGGATCTGTGATCCAGGATCAGGGATTGGGGGAAATACTTGGGGTTCTTAGACGATGTCATCGACGCCGACGCCTTTGCCTGTTTCGGCGCCTGACATGATGGCCCAACAGAAGGCGGAAAACGCGCTTGCTCAGTCTGGGACATCGAAGTCGAATTACAAGGGTTTTGTGGCGGGCGTTTTTTCAGGCATTGCGAAGCTCAGTGGTAGGTTGTATTCTGTGCCTTGATTTGGAGTTGAAGCTAATTTTGTTTTCTACAGTTGGCCATCCGTATGCATAACCAATTACTTCACCTTTGATCTGTTGTTAACGAAGTCGCACAGATTCGACACCATTAAGGTTCGCCTACAAACTAGCAAAGATGTGCAGTTCCGAGGACCGCTGGATTGCACGTTGCAGACTTTGCGAAAGGAAGGATTACAAGGGTTTTATAAGGGAGCTACACCGCCGCTGGTCGGATGGATGGTGATGGACTCTGTGTAAGTGTTCCGCGCTATTAAGAGGAATCGTGCTGACCGCCTGCAGGATGCTGGGCTCATTGACTCTATATCGCCGATTATTACTCGAGAATGTCTTCTCGAAACCTCACATCCGCCCTTACCTCCCCTTCTCGCGCTACCAGCCAGACCTCGCAATCCTTCCTAGTTTCGGACATGGTATTGCAGGTATCATGGCCGGTACAACGGTCAGCTTTATCGCAGCCCCAGTAGAGCATGTGAAGGCACGCCTGCAAGTGCAATACGCCGCCGACAAATCGAAGCGCATGTACAGCGGGCCCATCGACTGCCTGCGCAAGATGGTGAGTGCCGATTACCACATAATGTACGCATCAACTAACATAGATAGGTTCGCACGCATGGTGTCAGCGGCCTATACCGCGGCCTCTGGGCGACGGTCTTCTTCCGCTCCTTTTTCTTCTTCTGGTGGGGCTCCTATGACGTCCTCACTCGCTACTTCAAAAAGAACACTACGTTGTCTGCCCCGGCGATCAATTTCTGGGCCGGTGGCATCTCCGCCCAATGCTTCTGGCTCACTTCCTACCCGTCCGATGTCGTTAAGCAGCGACTTATGACTGACCCCATGGGTGGTGCGCTAAATGACGGCAAGCGACAGTTCCGCGGCTGGAAGGACGCTGCAGTCGCCGTATGGCGTGAACGTGGGTGGAGAGGGTACTGGCGGGGCTTCGTTCCATGCTTCCTTAGGGCATTCCCGGCGAATGCAATGGCTCTGGTTGCGTTCGAAGGCGTGATGCGTACCTTGCCCTAACTCCATGATGGTCTACACGAACCCCAAATGATTGCATATATACCGAAGTCTCATGGCTAGATAATTATTTAGAAGAACATACCCATTGTTTTATGCATTATTTGCCCCTGAGGAAAGTTAATCGTGGATTGGGGTAGTCCGGGATCAGGAATGTGCCATGTAGTAACGGGCCGCATTCGGCGATGAGAGTCTTCGGGACCCTCCTTGAAGTATCCCGAGATAACACGGAGACTTTCCAAGGTCCGAGCGAATCCTCATTCGCAATTGGACCATGTAACTGAAGTTGTGATCTCGCCCGCCGTTGAAGGGTCCTTGATAGTGAGGTGACATGGGTTGTCTTCCAAGGTTGGTTTGTCTCCTTCCGGACGGGGCAAAGAATAAAAGTTATCAATTATCCATAGCAGTTCTCTTTGAAATTTTCAATCTCTTTCACGTCCACATTGCTTTCCCATAGTCGTCACCAGGGGAAGGAATTGAGGCAAGGTTGAATCTGGTTCCTTGGTGCCTGAGGCATTCCAGCAGTCTAAACGTCAAACGGTTTCACTGGACAGCGACACGTTTCAATCTCCAATTTAACGTCTAATGCTGATCGGCCATGGCCGTTGCACGCTCCATGCGCCGCGCGAGCCCAATCAGCCTCGTGCTAGCAGCGCTGCTAGCATTTGGCTTCATATGTTTCATGCTCTCGCCCTCGACTCCCTCCGCATCCTCCGCATCCGCTAGCTCCCAACAGCGCCAGGAAAACGCCGCCGAACACCCTCTCTCCCCACCCACAAAACCCTTCTTCAAATCACAGGCAGTTCGAAGCGATGGCCACAAGGCAGCTCCCCCTGTTGTCCACTATGACCTCAACAGCCTAACCAACACCGCGGACTCAGTAGCCAACGGCGAGCGGGTCCTCATCCTCACCCCGCTAGCCCGCTTCTACCAAGGATACTGGGATAACATCGAGAAGCTGAGCTATCCGCACGAGCTGATCTCCCTGGGCTTCATCGCACCGAAGACAAGTGATGGGAACGCCGCAGTTGCGGCTCTAGAAAAGGCCATTGCCAAGACGCAATCGGGACCAATCGACAACCGCTTCGCGAGTATCAGCATCCTCCGCCAAGATTTCGACCCGCCATTGAAATCCCAGGATGAGAAGGCCCGCCATGCAATCGGCGCGCAGAAAGAGCGTCGCCAGTCGATGAGTCGTGCGAGAAACAGTCTGGTCTTTACAACGCTCGGCCCCGGGACTTCGTGGGTCCTCTGGCTGGATAGTGACGTCGTCGAGACACCGGCCGCTCTCATTCAGGATCTAACGGCCTTCGATCAGCCGGTTATTGTGCCGAACTGCTTCCAGCGCTACTACGATTCCTCGAAGAAGAAGTGGGATATCAGGCCTTATGACTTTAACTCTTGGGTTGATAGCCAGACCGCGCAGAACCTCGCCGCGAACATGGGGCCTGATGAGATTCTCCTGGAAGGCTACGCTGAGATGCCTACATATCGCACCCTGATGGCGCACTTGCCAGATATGAAAAAGCTTGATCCGAAGAAGATGCTTGCTCTTGACGGTGTTGGTGGTACGGCCTTGTTGGTCAAGGCTGATGTGCATCGCGACGGTGCCATGTTCCCTGCCTTCCCGTTCTTCCATTTGGTTGAGACAGAAGGTTTTGCGAAGATGGCCCGACGACTGGGATATGAGGTCATTGGACTCCCAGATTACTTCGTATGTTTCGGTTTTTGTCTAGTCTGCAGAGAAGGGGGTAATCTTGCTAACATTTTTTTTCCAGGTCTACCATTATAACGAGTAAATGGCTTCCAGCCTCGTCTAACGTCTATTTCGCTTGCATACATTGCGCTGTGCGCGTCTCAAGCTCTTTCTCGCCTTTCTTCGCCATTTTAGAGATTCATAAGCAACATTCACCTCAGCATCTATCCTTCCGCTGAGGGGATTTTTATTTCATACGTACTTGGGATGGTCGCTTCCCCAAGTCTCAAAATTGACTTGCATTCTTCTATGTATTACCAAGGAATATGACTGGGTATTCATTTATGTTGGAGAGGTGTTAGCTCCTGGGGCGTTGCTGGCTTGTTGATTCTTGTGCATTTATTTTTGTTCTAACATGGCTATTGCCATCTCAAATGAACGGTTACTTATTCGTGCAAGATTAATCTAAATGACCACATAAAAACATAAAAAGCACCATAGTATCTAGTTGAGCAAGGCGTTGGTATATTAACCAGTCAGTCGGGCATCGCCTATGTATCTTTTTCAATGAACCAAGTGCATGAACTTTTTGTCGTTGCACCAAGGCTCAACAGTGCTAGGCACAGTATGTATGATATTTCCGGTGTATACCAGCATAATATCAATGCCCAATACACCTGAATCAATCCCAAGAAATACTATAAATTGTGTCAGTGATAATTGTACCTCCGAAGCCTTGCGGGAGAAAAAACAGATACTTACGCAAGCATAATGCCGGCTCCAAGAGCAACTGCCAAGAACTGCGTGATAGTCTTCCGCACTTCAACGCCCTTATTCTTGCCAGTCTCGAGCAGCTCCGGGATCACAGCCACGGTGCCAACATACAAGAATGTGCCCGCCGTGAATGGAAGAAGCATATCACCCCAAGTAAGGCTAGTTCCCATAAGACCAGCAGAGTCGGTATCATCCAACATAGTGCCGTTGCCACCAAACTCCTGAACGGCAATTCCAATAAGGGTGCCCAAGAACGCACCAATAGCGGTAACGAACTGTGCGCCCATGGCCTTGCGCTTTGAGAAGCCGGACTGAATAAGCAGAGCAAAGTCACCGACTTCATGGGGGATTTCGTGGAAGAAGACAGCCACGGTGGTTGTCGCGCCGATGGTAGGTGAGGCATAGAAGGAAGATGAAAGGGCAAGGCCATCGGTGATGTTATGGGTGAAGTCAGCGATGAGATTAAGGTAGCCGCCAAGCTTGACGCTGGGGTTAATTTCCTTCTCGGGAACGACTTCAGAGGACTCCTTCGCAGCAGATTTGCGCTTCTTCAGCTCGCCGCCGGACTTCTTGGTCTCGGCGCCAGATGCAACTGCATCGACAGATTCCGCGTGCGCGTGACTGTGCGAGTGATCATGGCCGCCCTCGCCGCCAGTCGCGATGCGCAGGGCCTTGTCCATTGCTACAAAGGTGAAGAATCCGACCATGATTCCCAGGCCGAGAAGGAGGTTCTTGTTTGGCTCGACCATTACGAAGCTCACGTGGTCGGGGGAGGCTTCGCCGACGAAGATCTCGGGGAGTAGGTGGAATAGGGTGTCGCCAAGTAAGCCGCCAACGGCAAATGCGACCATCACTGACAGCGAGGATGGGTCGATGTTGGGTGGGCATAGTGCCAGGAGGAAGTCTAGAACAGTTAGTAGAGACCTATCACGAGTCATGAGGAGAAGACGTACTGGGTGGACCAGAGATATACAAAGTTGCCAGAAGCGCGTTCACGGCTGGGGTGCTCGGGAAGAGGACAGCAAAGATCTTTGATGTCAAGCTAGTGGTCTCTGGGCGGGTTGCACGCTTATGCTCATTGAGAGACTCAACTAGTGGGCAGCTCTGTGGCAAATTAGTTCACATGTAGGGCACAAAGTACGTTGTACAGCATACCTGCAATTGCTCCTCGATCTGGCCCACGGAGAGCTCTCCGGGGCCAACATTAGCCGCGGCCAAGGCTGAGAACAAAAGACATCCTGCAACTAGGGCAATTCCTGTTCTGCGTGAAGGAAGAAAGCGAGAAGCCATTGCGAATGAATTGGCCAGAGTTCTGTAAAGTGACAGGCGATATAGCCCACGGAAGTAGAGTACCCGTCTACGGGTGCAACAGCTGAGCTGCTATCATTGTTTATCGCGGGACCCTTAGCAAACATGCCAAGACTTGCAAACTCGGGAAAAAAAAGTTTCGATAACGCTTTTTATTATCGCCGACTACAGCGAAGAAGAACCCATTTGACCTCTACACTCACTTCACAATTCACAATGGGTAAAGTTTTGCAAAAGAAGAAGGCCCGCTCCGGGCGCTCCATGGCCCGTGCCAAGGACAGCCGTCTCAAGAGCGGCCACAAGAAGATCAATGTGCTGGGCAATCAGATCATCGCCGACAACTGGTATGCACAACTTTGCTCACCTTGAAAAATACAAATCACTAACAGCTGTAGGGATCGTGACCTGACCTTGACACAAAACTACCAGCGCCTTGGTTTGATGCACAAGCTGAACGCACCATCTGGTGGCCGCGAACGTCTCCCCGGAAACAAGGACCAATATCCCGACAACAAGAACTCGCTGCACATCCGCGGCAGCGCCAAAGCAGCCGCAGCCAAGCTTGACCTCGGCGAGGCACGAGTCGAGCGTGATCCCGAGACTGGCAATATTCTGCGCGTCATCCACGACGACGAAGACAACATCGAAGTGGCGGGCCTTCAGCGCTCGCGCAACAACCCGCTCAACGACCCTCTGAACGACATTTTGGGAGGCAACGGCGAGAGCAACCCCCTCGCGGACTCAGTTATTGTGCAGCAGCTTGAGCGCCAGGCGGATCAGGAGGGCAAGACTGTCCGTGCTAAGAAGCCGCGGTACCAGAGCTCGCGCGAGGGCGAGTGGGCTCAGCGCTTGATTGAGAAGCATGGAGATAATTTCACTGCTATGACTCGTGACCGCAAGCTGAATCCTATGCAGCAGAGCGAGGGTGATTTGCGGAGGAGAATTAACAAGTGGAAGAAGAGTCAGTCGTAATGCCTTGTTCATTTGTTCTGAGCATCTGGTTAGGGCGAGTCTGGCGTTTATCTTTTTCTGTTTATTAAAAGTGTCTACGTGATGGATGCATGTGTCCCGAAGTAAATATTATTGGACGGCAACTGAGCCGCTTGGATTCGTTATCTCGTGTTTCCTTTAGCTATTACTACTGAGCGTCGAGTAGGTGACAACCCCCGCCGGCGGAAGGCTTATTCGTTGCACCACTCGTACCCATCGTCGGCGTCTCCATTCTCCCACTCCGTAGGATGCAGTCCCTTCCTCCCAATCCCGTGATTTCGCCTTTTCCTTCTCCTTGCTCTTGGTTTCTTTGGGAGATGGTGACTCATGCAGGTCTCCGTAGGCTAGCGTCAAATCATCATCTGACTCCTGTCGAGTTGGAGGCAAGTCCCAAACCCAACCGCCAACTTCTCCGACGATGGCGTTGCCTTCGGCATTTACGCCTGGGACCTCGAACCCAACGCTGGTGATCATGCGCTCCACCACCCATTCACGGCAGTCCAGGTCGAGTTCCCACTTCTTGCTCTTCCAAGCCCAGCCACGCGGGGCACGGACATCCTCAAAAAATCGGCATCCACGAGGGCGGTCCCCGGCAATTCGAGATGGTGATAGCGGGTCGTATGGCGCGTGGCTGAACAGGAAGCTCTCCCACCCAGACTCTGAGGTTCCTGCGGCCCGATGCTGTAGCTCAAAAATTTCCACCTCCCGCTCTTCGGGATATGTGTCCAAGGAGATATCTGCGAGCTTTTCCATGGCCGACATCGCTGCAGATGGGTCTGCAGGGACCGATGAGGCGAACCCATCAGTCTCATCCGAACCTGCATCTAAGGAATCTCCAGTCATATCTTGCATTAGACCGGAGAGGAATTGCCCCACCGTTGGGTGGATGGAGAGAATCGCCGCATTGCCGCCAACAAGCAGCACAATTTTGAGGGGCAGCAGGTGCGCACTGATAAACAATACTACTATAGCAATCGTGCATCCGAGAAATAGAGTTGAGGAGAGCTTCTCATTGGAGAAATTCGTTAGCGGCGCAACAACAGAGATAGCCGCATCGTGAGCGTCTGAGAAATCAGCCATGCAATTCTGTAGATCCCGCATGTTCCGAAGGAAATCTTTGGAAGTCTCTGGCGCTGGCTTAATAGTTGTCGCTGGTGCCAGGGCTGGTCCATCATAGGAGTAGTAAGGAGTAGTGCTGGACGTCGAGGTGTTTGGAGGTGGTGGGTGACGAGTCGCAAAGGCCGGCACCATTATAAAGAGCAAGAGAACCACTAGGGGCAAAACCAAAAGGAGATGAGGTTCCAAGCAGATGAAAGAGTAGACAAAAAGGAAAGAGATGGTATGGGTTGGTGTATCCCAAGTGAATAGTTGCTCAACACGGCTCTGGAATAGAAATACCACACCGATTCTATAGTATTTTTAGTTTCAGTAAATGTCACAGGGGATGATTCAGTCCTACCTTGCATTAAAGCGGCGGAAATTATTTGCCATTACAGGCAAACTGAAAGCCGGTTTCTTAGGAGAGGCAAAGGCCTTGTCTCCCAATGAATCGGTTTCATCCTCATCGTCTGTTGGGATGACTTGTTGGAGAAGCCTGCAATTGTCAGCTGTCAAAATTCCCCACAGATATATTGAGTCTATCTAGGAAGAAATCCATTCCAAGCATACTTTGTAAATAGGCGATCCTGCAGTGAGTTCTTAGATAGAGAGGAAGATCTCGAATGCGTACTGTCTGGCGAACCCGGTCTATTCCGTTTTGTTGGAACCTTAGGTTCGTCGCTCAGGGCTTCTGTAAATCCATCCATGATTAGACATGGGATCTTAGAGATGAAGAACGGAAGTAAAAAGGAAGAGTCGGGAATTATGAACTCTCAGAGCCCACCTGGGCAAGCACATGCTTTGCCGATCAACGGGGAAAGCGGCTGACATAATCCTGTTTGGCATCCATGGATCAGGGGGAACCTCGAAGTTCGATAGTTCACACTAAAAAAAAAAAACAAGTTGGCCTTCATTTCTCTCTTTGACTTCTTTTTTTTCTTGTTTCTTTTTTATATACATATATTCTCTCTGCGATTATTCACGTCCTTCGATTACATCTAAAAATCCCCTTTGTTGACGGGGTTACTTATAAAATCCACCTTGCCCCCCCCCCCAATTACCTTCTTTTTCCCTCTAGTTACCGCCTTAGTGGACTTGCCCCAGCAACCCTGCTTCTCCCAAAATTATTTGTCAAAGAGAACCTGCCTTGGCCCTCATTGCTCTTTCACAACTCGCAATGGAACGGTAGCTGTTTTCAAGAGTCGCGCGACGGTGCTCAAGTATCTCTTGGTTTGAGACCTCGCACTTCTCCTGAATGCAATTGCGATCGCATCTCTGGCACGGTCCAGTCCTCCTTTTCCGACTTTCCTCTGAAAACGCGTGAGCTTAAACAATGCCGACAAAGCCGCAAACACCGGGGAGGGGTCAAGCGCGGACCGAAGCAACATACAATCCCTCAAACGATGATTCGGGCTCGGGAGGTAAGAGTTGAGACGTCGGGAAGGTGCAGCTAGATATTGACAATAAACAGCAGAAGCTCCGGCCCGCAGGCGCCTGCAAAAGTCGGCCTCCACCAACTTCCCCTCGAACAACACCAATTTTGACACATCAAATGGGGTCGCTGGACCGCGCGCAGGTGGGATAAATAGGAGAAGACTTTCAATTCGTGACCAAAGGGTTCCTCAGGGCCCACGACCGCAGGACGTTTCGCGATGGAGGTATGTCTAGTTCTGCTTTCGTGATTGACTTTGAACTAACTCGATATCTAGCAAACCTAGTCCGTACCAGCACTCTGGGAACTCCTCTGTTGATTCTACGATTGATTCGACTAAAAGCTTCAACCTTCGATCTACGAGCGTGGGCAACCTGGCAAAGGCCGATTCCAATCATGCAGACAACATGGACTTTCTAGCGCCGATCAACTTTGATGATTTCCATAACAGCATCATGGGTGAACCCAGCTTGAACCACTTTCCCATGCCCGGGAACGGCAGTTCGGGTGAGAATCGTGAAACGGGTCCTCTGACGAATCCCTGGGAAAACCACACATATGCGAGCAATGTATCGGACCGTACACGGGGTCCTTCCGCTCGACGAAAGAGTGAAGTGCAACGTCCGAACGGTCCCAATGCTGCTGCAGGGCTCACAGCATCTTCTGCCAATACCCGCGCTCGCGGCCAGAGTATAGCCCAGCCGTCTGCCGGAAGTGCTTCAAGGGGTCCGCGCAAATCTATCAGCTCTGGGGCATTTGCACCTACCAATGCTTCAGCCAGGCGCGCCAGTCTAAGTGCCCGCAAAATCAGCACTGACACCGCTTCGACAAATAACTTCCTTCGCCCTCGACTTCCAGAGTCTGATGCCAAGGTTCCGTCTTCTGTTCGAAACCTCAAGGCAAAGTCATTCCAGCCCAGCCCAAGGGAACCCCGTGGTCCATTTCTGACTGCGTCTGGAGTCACTGACCACACACGATCAAATTCCACCAATGCCGTGCGGAGCCCGGTAAGAAACCCTTCTGGCGCCGTGGCGACTCCTTCCTCTGCCTCTAAGCGGGCTTCTGTTATGCCACCACATGCCACTGGACTTGGTGCTCGAACGATCAGTCCCACTGACGCACGACGACTGAAGCGAATGTCGATTGCGCCTCCTGCGCCTCCGATGCCACATACACCTCCCACCCAGACAGAACCTCTTCCCATCCGTCCTCTATCATCAACTCAATCTCCCTCTCAAATTCCGAGGAAAAGCGTCACACCTTCCTCGAACCGAACCACTCCCGACCCAAATCGTAAGTCGTACAGTTCAGGGCTGTCTGTTTCTTCAAGCACCAGCTATAACTCGGTGCGAACCTCTGGGGGCTCTCTCCAAAACCGGCTGTCCCAAAATCTATCTTCGTCCCGACTCCCGACTCCCAAGCCACGCACAGAGCAAGGAAATTCCAATGGGGAAGAGGTACCACCAGTTCCAGCGATCCCCAAGGCCTACGAGTCGCCCAAAGGTGAACTGGATGCGCCTATCTTCCCTGCGCCCAGAAAATCAAGTATTCCTGTGGATTTGGGCCTTCTGAATATTAAAGATTCGGACTCCGAAGCGCACATCACCGCCCAGGTTGACAAAGTTGACTCTGCCGAAACAAAAACTCCTGATTCACGATCACGGAATTCTACTGTTCTGGCAGGACGAAAAGGTTTGCAGCCCTTGAAATTGCCCCCGCTGAATTTGTTGCCTTTGGGCACACCCATGGCGGCCAAAATTGAGGCACTCAAGGACAGGGACGACGAGCGCAAAGCTCACACCCCCTCCAACCAAGTGATTTCAAAGACGCCCAGTACTCCGATGACAGCATCCAAAGCGAATTTCTGGTACCGTGATGAAGACGACCAACTTCCCCTCACTCAAGCACGAAGCAGCACCTCTCACTTTGTCGTCAGCTCATCGACCGCCGCGTTGCGAGCTTCTAGTAGTACCAGCGCATTTGAGTCATTTGACACGCCAAGTGCAGCTCGCAACATCTCTCCTTATGCCTCATACACGCTCCCCAAGAGCGGTGCCGAGCTCAACCATCTCCGCCACCAGGCCAGCGCCGACTACTCAAACCGGACACAAGGACACAAGTTGAATGGTCCACGACCTCAAACGCAAAGTGCCATTTTCACTCCTGCTCCAGAGCGGCTCAGCCAGATATCGACGCCTTCGGAGTCTGAGAGTGTCACTGTCACTGCGTCCGGCTCCTCTCTTCGGGACCGGCTCAAGGTGGCACGGCTTCGCAGCAACTCGAAGCCCCAGAAGGCACAAGCCGATGCTGATCCAACCAAGCACAATCATATGCCGCCGCCTAAACTTCCAGCCTCTGCGACATGGAACAACCTGTCTTCAGTCAATTCGACGAGCCCTAGTCTCAAGCCATCGTATCTCAATCCTCGCCGACAGTCTTCTGTTTCAAGCGCAACAAACCCGACGACTCGGAAACCAAGTGTCAGCAGCGAGAAAAGTCTCACCCTGGAGCCAACTCCCTCCAATGAGTCGGGCGAAAGTGACCGCTCTAGACGCGTGCAGAGCACGTACATCTCTCCTGTTCACAAGATGATCAATAACGCTAGATCTAGTGTTGCGGCTGCTTCCCGGACTACCGACAGCACTGTTGATCCAGATGTGGCGATTGCAGATGAAGAGATGAAGCGACTTGGGTCTAAACGCAAAGACTTTGAAAAGGCGGCGCGTGTGCTAGATGACTTGCGCCGCAAGGCTGGACCAAAGGATCGTGTCAGTCCCGCCCAGGCCTTGAAGATGGCAACGCTCAACATCTTTGAACGCGGTGAGATCATCGATTATCGCGATATTTTCTTCTGCGGCACCCAGACTGCCAAGAAACATGTTGGAGATCTCCACTCCAGTGCAGCGAACTTTGGTTACGATGATGACCGTGGTGATTATAACATTATCATCGGCGACCATCTGGCTTACCGGTATGAAGTTGTTGATGTCCTGGGCAAAGGCAGTTTTGGACAGGTCGTGCGATGCGTCGACCACAAGACTGGGGCTCTGGTTGCAATTAAAATCATTCGCAACAAGAAGCGATTCCACCAACAAGCCCTGATTGAGGTCAACCTCCTACAAAAGCTGAAGGAATGGGATCCTCATGGCAAGCATAGCGTGGTCAACTTCACCCAAAGCTTCTATTTCCGTGGTCATCTGTGTATTTCGACGGAACTCCTTGGCATGAATCTTTATGAATTCATCAAGGCCCATGAATTCCGGGGCTTCTCGTTGAAGCTGATCCGTGTTTTCACAAAGCAGATGCTGAGCAGTCTTGTGCTGTTGCATGCGAAGAAGGTCATTCACTGTGACTTGAAGCCCGAAAACATTCTTCTCGTTCACCCGTTGAACTCCGAAATTCGAGTCATCGACTTTGGTTCAAGTTGCTTTGAGAATGAAAAGGTTTATACTTACATCCAGAGTCGCTTCTACCGTTCGCCCGAGGTCATCCTCGGGATGTCGTACGGCATGCCGATAGACATGTGGAGTTTAGGTTGCATTTTGGCTGAGCTGTTCACTGGCTATCCCATTTTCCCAGGAGAGAATGAGCAAGAACAGCTTGCTTGCATCATGGAAGTCTTTGGTCCTCCGGAAAAGCATCTCATTGAGAAGAGCTCTCGCAAGAAGCTGTTCTTTGATTCTCTCGGCAAGCCGCGTTTGACTGTTTCGTCCAAGGGACGCCGACGTCGTCCGAGTTCCAAGGAGCTCCGACAAGCCCTGAAGTGTGACGATGAAGCCTTCCTTGACTTCATCACTCGCTGCCTTCGCTGGGATCCTGCTCGTCGACTCACACCCCATGACGCATTGAAACACGAGTTCCTCACTGGTGTCAAGGCCCCCCGGCCTAGGATGTATTCATCAAGCTCACCCTCCAAGCGAGGTGTCACGTCTGCGGCTCGTCCTCTCCCAGATCCTCCAGGCACAACGCTAAAGAGCGGGTTCATGCGCACTCGCGATGTCTCTGCCAATTCCCCAGTCAAGGGTACCGGCAAACGACACTCAACCGTGAACGGTCCTCCGTCCAGCCCCGGCAAGCGAGGGTCCAGCAATTCTACTACTACCGGGTCCGCGCTTCCTCGCGTTTCGGTGCGGAGTATCAGCGGAAAGCCAGATCTCGCTACTGCGGCGGCTGCGACAAGCCTGGTGAGTTAGGCCAGCGACCTAAACCTGGCCAAGAGAATGGGATGCTGACTAGCCGACAGAGGAAATGATCTTGCACGTTTTTTTATTGCTGAATGCCCTGTAATACTAATACTTTTGTTTTTACTTTTACATCCTTGCATCGGGTGGTTGTCATGTCAGCATTTTGTTCGTTGAGATGCATTCATGTTATACCCCCTTGTTCCTGCATTTGCATTGCGCCCATGATGACTTGAGTATCGCTTATACCTTATGTTTTGCTCTTGCTTATGCATTTCCCTTCGTTTTTCTTATACTTGATGACCCCCATTCAGGGCCATGTGCCCTGTGTTTGTACATTGTTACCTCTCATTGCATTTCTTAAGAGTTTACGATGTGTTGCTCATGGGTAGAGCGATTTAACGTTGTATCAAGTTGCTTCTATGGCTGAATTAATGACTATGTGATTTTTATTTTATTTAAAATGACTTCTAATTTGTAAATAAAGCAACTGAATAGTATAAAGAAGACACGATATACGTACGTTGTACGAAGACTGGCATGTCCCCACTGGGCAATCGGGCTACTTGGCCTCATCCTATCTTATTGACTCCACTTCTCCGACAACAACTTCCATTGGCCTTCATGGGTAATTGATTCGCAATGAATGGCTTCGAATCTAAGGACCTGAACGAAGATGCCTTCGGGGAGAAGTCTGGTTTGGCTGCCCTGAAAACCTTCGACGCATTTCGTGAGTACCTCGAAGTTCGAGCATCTAAACAAAGTTACTCACGTTCATGACCAGCCAAAACAAAACCCGCCTACACAACCCCAACCCGCAGCGGCGGCCAATGGACCGTCCTAATCCTCCTCGTATGCACGATCTTCAGCTGGTCCGAGCTAAAAACCTGGTGGCGCGGCACCGAAAACTACCACTTCAGCGTTGAAAAGGGCGTCTCACACGAGCTCCAGCTAAACCTCGACATGGTCGTGCACATGCCCTGCGACCAGCTCCGCGTGAATATCCAAGACGCAGCCGGTGACCGCATCCTAGCCGGCGAGCTCCTCAAACGCGACGACACAAACTGGCTCCTCTGGATGCAGAAGCGCAACTACGAGACCAGCGACGGTGCCCACGAATACCAAACCCTCTCCCACGAAGAATCCGACCGTCTCGTCGAGCAAGAGGCCGACGCCCACGTCGGCCACGTCCTCGGCGAAGTGCGCCACAACCCGCGTCGCAAGTTCGACAAGGGCCCGCGTATGCGCCGCGGCGTCGCCCCAGACGCCTGTCGCATCTACGGAAGCCTTGAAGGGAACAAGGTGCAGGGTGACTTCCACATCACCGCGCGCGGCCACGGATATCGCGAGAACGCGCCGCATCTGGATCACTCGTGTATGTGTTCTCCGCAAGCCATTCCCATCCCGTAGAACATCGCTAACAGCTCCACCCCAGCCTTCAACTTCTCCCACATGATTACGGAGCTCTCCTTCGGGCCGCATTACCCGACCCTGCAGAACCCGCTCGATAAGACTATCGCCGAGAGCGAGGAGCACTACTACAAGTTCCAGTACTTCCTTTCCATTGTGCCAACGCTGTACAGCCGAGGAAAGGGCGCGCTGGATGCGTATACGCGCTCGCCGGAGGCTGCGGCTTCGCGGTACGGACGTAACAAGGTCTTCACGAACCAGTACGCGGCAACGAGCCAGTCCAGCGCGATCCCTGAATCGCCAATGGTTGTGCCGGGCATCTTCTTCAAGTATAACATTGAGCCGATCCTGTTGCTGGTCAGCGAAGAGAGGGCGGGCTTTTTGTCGCTATTGATTCGGGTTATCAACACCATTTCAGGCGTGCTTGTTACTGGTGGCTGGCTTTATCAGATTACTAGTTGGGCTGGTGACATCTGGGGCCGTAGGAAGAATAGGTCGACTGAGGGGTATTTGACGGGCAAATCTTCTGCGGATTGAGACGGATTGAGATTATTTTGGTTTTGTTTTAGTTCGAATGTTTTCTATATCTCATTATATCGGTGTTCTATCAGATATCCTACGTCAATTGCATCAGGAGTTCACTCTTTGCATCAAAGTTCATTGGTCAACTCCAGTAAAGTTGAGTTCGACCTCGTGGTATAGTTATAGCAAATGATCGTACATCCCGCAAACATGATGTAAAGTACAGTGGATAAACACTAAAAACTAAACCTCAAATATCTCGCCCATGCCTACGCCAGCACCCTCTGCACCGGCACGGCTGTCGACCAGATCCAGACGCCAGCCGTTCCAGTCACGCAGCTTGCTCTTGATATCGCGCATCCACTCAACACGCTTGCGGCCTTCCTCCTCAGCCTGCGCACGCGCGAATGCATCTTCATCGAACTCGTCATCAAAATTTTCTTCGGAAACAAGCTCGAGACTACCACGGGTACCAGGAGGGTGAGATGGGTTAGACGATGAAGCGCGGGCGCGGTTGCCACCAGCTCCTGTAAAGGCAGCAAAGCCGCTAGAAAGCACTGTGGAGAAGGACGAGTGCTGCTGCTGGGCCATGCTACGGCGACGGGCATGGTCGGGTCGTCCGCCGACAAGATCGACGTCATCGAATGCATTGGCTGCGTCGCCGGAGGCAGCGCTGGGTCCGTCATCCGGGTAGTGCTCCATCTCCTGGCGCTTCTCTTGCCAAACGCCGCGGCGCAGATCGAAGACCTCGCCTTCCAGCTCGCGGATACGGCGCTCAAGGCGCTGGCGTTCCTCGTCCTCGAGCTCGTCCAGCGCGTCATCATCGGCGCCTCCGCCGGTCTGGCGAGTCCGAATCCGATCACTCTCTTCGCGTAGGCGGAGGTTCTCGTTTTCGATGCTGGCAATCTTTTTCCGCATGACAGCGATTTCTTTGTCGGATTTCTCGCTCTCGCGTAACCGTGTTTGATGCCGGGCTTCGGTTTCTTTGTGGAGATTGCCTATTACCTGGAGTTTCTTGTCTAGCGTCTCGATTTTCTTTTCCGATTCGCTTTTTTGGTTCTTGTACTCCTCAACCTCACGCTGGAGATTCTTGATCAGCGTTTCGGTAGATGTCTTGTCGACGCCTTCCTTGACTGCTTTCTCGGAGGCCCGCGTCAATGCCTGCTTTATGTCTGCCAGTTCACGCTGGGATTGATCTAGTGCTGATTGGGTCTTTGAAACCTTCTCTTCTAGCGCTGCGACCTGAGACTCGTGTGCATCGTTAGAGGACGTTTGGGAGGTGACCTGGGCGCGGAGATTTGAGATCTCCAACTCCATGGATTCAATAGTGGCTGACTTGGACTCGAGCTGACGAACAAGGTCGGCTGGCGGCGACTCTGTTGCACTTGTGTTTCGATGCGATCGGGTCTGGAGTTGTGAGTTCTGTCGCTGGAGAGAAGCAATTTCCTCTTTCTATTCCGTAGGTTAGCAAATATAGCCGGCTACCACAGGAGATAAGGTTTCATACCAACGACTCAATACTGGCGACCTTCTCCTCTGCCTTCTTCAGTTGCTCCCTCAACTCCACGCCATCAACACTCGCTTCCTGCAAATCCTCCACTTGCTCCTCAGTCTTGCGCCAGCGCATAGTTGCATCCGAGAGATCCTTCTCCAAACGTTTATTATCTTTCTCAAGTTCCTCAATCTTAGTAGACTGTTTGCGGAACACTTCGTGAACCGACTCCCCGTCCCCGGTTAGGGGCGGTAATGATTGTGCGGGGGACTTGAGTGTAGCAGACGGGGAGGGGGACGCGCTGCCCTGTGAGACGGAGGTCTTGCGGAATGAAGATGAGCGCATCTTTGACTGTATTGACAGCGAGGCTTGTCGGCCGTGGTTGGCGCGGGGTGTATCGAGCCGGACTGGCAGCGGCTCAGCCTCTGGATCAGGAGATGTGGGCGCTGGAGGCATCGGTTCGGTAGGAGACTCGATATTCGTATCAGTGGGAGGTTGCGAATCTGGTTCTGCTAATTCCTCTGGTTGTTCGGGGGCTGCGGCCTCGGATTGCGCGGCCGGCTCATCTTGCACGTCTGGCTTCTCCTCCGCGGGGACGTCTGCCTCCAGTGTTTCTAGGCTCGGGGCATCTTCAGCAGGTTCTGTCTCTGTTGGAGTCTCCGCATCCTTGGGTGTGTCGGCTCCAGTAGTAGGAGTCTTCTTGGCCTTCTTTTTCTTCTGGAGTTGGGCAACCTGAAGAACAACAATCAAGTCAGCTACCAAAACAACGCCATCTGTCACTCGCGAGGAATTACCCTTTTCTTGGCTGCGGCCAGCTTTTCGGCTTTGATGCGCTCCTCGTCGTCCATAATGAATCTTTTTAATTGTATGAATATAATCAATGGGGAGGATGATGAAGTGGAAGGGAGAGAATGGACAGCTTTCCCCAATGCACGGACCACGTGTCTGATCTATATGCCCGAATGAGATGTACAATATAGTATCAAACTACGTAGTTGAAATCGAGGTGCTAGATAATCATTTATAACCACTGGACTATTAGATCTGATTGGATATTACTAGGCGAGATTAATAAAATACACGTTGACGCCACATAGGGGGCCGCGCTAGGTTGAGGCAGACAGACCCCTGTCAAACAACCTCGTTCACTTGTAAAAGGAGATAAAGCCTACAAATCCATCGCTAGGAGATCTCACTTCCCCAGCTCTCCCATAGTCCAGCCATGGTCCCCGAGCTCCCAGTGGATCGGAAGACAAGAAACAGCCATCCAAAGGTACGCACCGGCTGTCTGACATGCAAGTATGCACCATCCACAAGCAAATGCATCAGACCAAGCGAACTTTGGAGCTGCAGCTAATAGCCAAACTCAAATAGAATCCGCCACAAGAAATGCGACGAGAATTACCCATTCTGTCGTATGTGTACGAGAAGCAAGAGAACATGCGAATACAAAGAAACACCCGATAAACGAACCCGAGCCCTCCGCAAAGAAAGCCAAGTCCTACCCTATCTGCTCTCTGCCTCAGCCTCTCAATATGGACCAATCGCTCGTCGGCTAGTCGACACAAGCCAGATTGACCTCACGCCTAGCGAGCGGTGGTACCTCGATTCATTCCGGCGGTATACATCGCACGAGTGTGCGGGGTATGTCAAAGATGATTTCTGGCAAAGGCTTGTGCATCAGGTCAGCGAGGAGGAGCCGGCAGTGCGGCATGCGGCTATCGCCATTAGTGCCATGCATTGGCGATATGCGCGAGGACTAACCGGGGCTGAGGCCGGCGATTCTTCGGTTGCACTCTCGACTTTTCCATCTACTCTAACCGCTGAAAACGACGTATACTTCCCTCTACGGCAGTGCAATAAAGCCATTGCATCCCTGCGCCAGAGTTTGCGGATACATGCTACCAGCAGCGCGCAGACGGAGGCCGTGCTTGTAACGTGCGTGGTATTGGTATCGCTCGCTCTTTTTCAAGAGGATACTAAGACCGCGACGTCGCACATGCGGTCCGGGTATCAGCTGCTGGTGGGGTGGCAGAAGAGCGGGTTCGATAAAAGTCCCTCGGGTCCCATTCTGATGCGGACATTCGCGGACTTGCATCTACATCAGTGTACATTTCGAGATCCGGAGTCGTCTATTCAAGCGGCGCAGATGTCGCTTTCGCGGCTGATCACGACTAGCCCGCAGGTATATGGGTCTGTGGATGCATTAGAGCGAGGGAGTGATTTGCTGGTTACTCTGGGATGGATTATTTCAGCGAATTATCCTCGGGGACTTGATAAGAGTATGGATCTGAGATTCGGGATCAATGCAGCTTGTCCACTTAACAAGAAAGATGGCACCCAGGATACTGCTCTAGAAAGAGTTCAAGCGTGGAAGAGCCACCTGGAGGCGTTTGTCACACGCTACGGAGGAATTCTGTCGCCCCAGCACCGCCATCCCTTGAGGTTGATCGAGATATGGACCGAAATTACGTATGTCCTGGCCGTGGTGGCCAACAGACCTGAGCAACAGGAGATGGCATATGACTCCCTTCTCCCGCATTTCCATCGGGTCAATGAACTGGGAAAGATTTACTTCGAGTCAAGTGAGCTGATGCCGCGATTTGCCGCCAAAATCACGGTTATGCCGGCTATATTCTTCGTTGCTCAGAAGTGTCGCGACTGGCGTACGCGCCGGGAAGCGTTGCACTTAATTCGCAGCTGTCGGCGGCGAGAAGGCGTCTGGACGTCTTCGGGTAATTTTGCTATTTTGGATCAATTGATAAGGGAGGAGTCTGGAGGGTTGACACCGGACGATGTGATTCCTGAGCTTGCTCGTGTTGATACCATTCATATTGAACACTTACCCGAGCAGGGCAAGCTTCGTTTGTGGTATCATCGACTTCGGAGTTATGAAAGCACAGGCGGCACTGGTCATGGCATATGGAAGACTGCTTTGCTGCCGGGTTAGTGTTAGTGGTAGCATTTCAAACGAATGTTAGGAGTTTTCAGAAAGAAACGAAAAGGCTTACTTCCTAAAATTGGTAAACCTGCACGAGGCAACAAAAATCCAAAAAATAGATATGGGTGATATTAAACAGTAAGTCACAGAAAGTTGAGGGGCATCATGCCAATATTGTCCGTTAAATAACGCCCCTCGTGAATAAGAAAAACCATGCAAGTTGATTGCGCCAATCAAAAGAAAACATTAACCCAACACCTCCGGCTAGAAAGATCATACCCGATCAACGGGGCCAAAAGAAGACATACAAGAAACGAACAAAAACAAAAGCACACAAGCCTAATCATTTGGTATATCTTAGACTTCCATTGAGTCCGCAATTTCCTCACTCATCGCTCGGACTCCACGACGGCTGGTTGGCAGATTCTCGTCGTCGTCACTGATCACATAAGTGTCATAGTCGTCCGCGGTAGGCCGAATCATCTTCGGAGGGCGATCCATCTCATCATCGCTGTCGCTGGCGATAAGGGTCGATCTGGCGCGTTCTCCAAACCAGAACTTGGCACGCTTGCTGGAACTGAGATCTGGCGTGAGGTATCCGTCGTCGTCGTAGGTCCGCTTCCCTGTAGGAGTAGTTGCCATCTCGTCTGGGGTGTGGCTGAGTATGGGAATCGCGCGCAGAAAGATGTAACAGACGCGCTTGCGAATGGGGTTGAAGAAAAAGAAATGGAGACTCCAGATAGCCCCATCATCGGCATCGGATGGGTCCTCCTCCGGCGAATATGAGTAGATCGAACACTCCTTGAGCGACATGTGTTCATCTATCGTTTTCCATACACGCGGGCCCCACGCAGAAGATGATCCTGCTGTGTACGATCCAGAAAGCGTCGCAGGGGATGCAGGAGACAAGTTGGTGTTCTCGCGCGGTCGCAGGTTGAGCAGCGTTGAGTCGACCGTATTCATGACGCGCTTCAAATTCCTTTCGCGTCGGAAATCAGTGGGGCGCAGGACGTGTGAAAAGTCGTAATCCGGATGGCTTGCGTTCAGAGTAGCGATCAGGTATGCAAAGGTCCGTCGGCTCGAATGGTCGCTCAGGGGTCCGAACGGGCTAGATCGCGCTAGATTGAGGGTCTCGGCGGCATCATGTGCATTCGGAGGTGAAAGTGAAGCCGAAAAGCGAAGGACCGATTCATACTGAGCCTCGAGCGACTGTTCGATGTGGTTGTAGAGTTTCCGATCGGAGCGCGCCGCCTTGGTTGTGTAAATATCACAGCCACCAACGATGTGGCAGTCAGTCGTATCGAAATTGAGAGAACTCGTCACGTCCTCGAACTCTGGAAGGGGGAGAAACTATATCACGAAAAGTGTTAGTAAACTGATAGAAAGACACATTGGGGTTGCGACCGCTGAGTTTACCTTCATCGTGAGGTTAAACCGGGGTAGTGGAGACCCCGAGATAAGCCGATAAGCCTGCTGAGATGACGTGTCACGGTTTGCGGTTCGAAGAGACAATACTCAGATCTCTCTTCTGGTGTAGAAAGAGGGGGAGATAGAAGGGGGAAAGCAGGGTTAATGCGGGTGATTGAACCGGAAGGTGGAGTTCCGATGATGTCGTTGGGCGATAACCGCGAACAGGGCTGGGATAAGGGGGCAACACGAACTACGACAGATCGCAGTTCTTATAGCAAGTCAACACCAGTGACAAATGAGAGGAGTATACAAAGAGATGAAAATGAAGCAAGAGGGGATGGTCTTGGGTGTCCCGGGGAGTCCTGAGGTGATCTGAGAGGGGAGGATTCCGGAAACAGTCACGTGTGGGAAGGCGTGGTCCAGTAGGAACCCGCACTGACCTCACGAGCAGTCAGTCCAACCATGGAAAGGTCATTCATAGGCCAACTCGATCCAGATTGCGTGTTATATCTTCCGACTCCTGAGTGAACAAGTTGTATTGATTAGTATGGTGTGAAAAACTCCTATGTACGCCGCAACAAAAAAAGGAGCAAGAATCCTGCTTGCTTGTGTTACATGATCTTGGTGACCACATCTTCCTCGACCTGGGGAATAATTAGCCCGGCTGAAACTTGGCCATGGCTGGGGGATAAAAGGGGAGGGGGATAAAGGGTCCAAATATAGCCATGTAGCAGCACCTCTCTTGGTTCTTTCTTCGATAAAAGAAAGTACCCGACAATCCCCCATAACGGAAATAAAAGAAACTTGTCCTAACTCACCTCCATATCTTCCAAACTGTCCTGCTGGCTGATACAGCGAAGAACATTCTTCTTGCTGGTCTCTTGCATTTCCCCCGCAATCAATAACTCATCGAGAATAAAGTATGCTTTCTGGAAGTTGAATATGATGTCCAGCTCGCAGACATTGCCGTAGTACTTGTCCATCTGCTCGACGTAGCGGTGCACCACCTCGAGGGTGATCAGCTCATTATCGGTCGAGGCACAGCCAGCGATGAAGAAGAGAGAAGCGTAGCGACGGTAGACGACTTTCGAGTCTAATAGTGCAGTCCTTGTTAGTCCAATTCCAGCTCGTCGGCGAAAAGGGGTCGTGCGGGGATAATAAGCCACCTTTGTATTCCAGGAAATTGCACATCCGCGTCCGGCGGGACAGCACCAACTGGGTTACATCCTTGATGATCTTGGCCTTCTCCTTGGGAGAGAGAGTGGTGAACCACTTGGCGAGGCGCTAGAGAAATGTTGTCAGTTGGGGCTTCGGCCAGGTGTAATGTAGTTGGGTAGGTGACGAGGCATACCACTTTGCCCTGTCGGGAGAGCAGAATCAGGTAGCTAATGAGGGGTCAGTAGTCGCAAATATAAGGTGACTGCAGGACAATCTCACTGGACAGGCATATTGATGGAGATGTGAAATGAAGGGATGGAGAAAAGTGTCCGGGCGGAAGCTCTGGGAGAAATTCTTTGGGTGGAGAGGGGAGTTTTGCCCCGCTAAGCCCTAGCTTAACAATTTAAAACGTGGAGATTCAATATGGAGTTGATTCCAGATGGAAAAGAATATTTGTTTTCTCGGAAGTTCCCAGGGCAATATCCCAAGTCTTGTGTTTTGCGCACGGGACCTTGAATGAGTCAACCCTCGCCTCCATGACGAAGTACATCATGAATCTTATCAAAACTAACATCAGAGCCTCATGCACGAATTTAAAACCCTATTACACCATGCTAATTGATGGGAAATCGGCTGCCGAAAATGGCTACCTTGGACACTGGTTTAAACCCCCATTTTACCAAAATCTTAGTCACTGTGTTCTCCTAGTCTCTGGTCATATCTCTACCTGAAGCTATGGCTGTTCTAAGCTCTTACGCTTCCTATATCAAGACCAAAAAAAAGGTACTTAGCCCAAAGTATTTTCAATAGTGTCGACAACTAGAGAAAATAATCAAAGCTACATGCTATATCCACGAAAGACTGAATACATCCAATTAAGATGGATTGATTGATGGATTGTTGTAATATTTGGCGAAATTAACGATAAAATGTCATTTCAAGCTGGATGGGCATTACCAGAAGCGAACGACTGCATACTTCCTGGTTTCGCTTCAAGGAGCACCCACTTTCTGACCACCTCAGCTCTCTCCTCAGTCGATGATTTTTGCAACTCCTGCTGGCCCTGTAAAATTTGTGCCAGGATAATACGTCTTTCTATGTCTTTACCTAGCGACTTCAGCAGCTTCCTGCGCAAACCGCCCAATGGATATCCTGCTCGCCGCTAGAGATCTAGTCGGATATTTGTCAGAAACCAATAATGCCGAGGTGTAGAATTTGAATTATCTAACCATAGGAGAGAAGGGACCATGAAACTTACCTGCAGTCGGCTTCAGTATAACGCCGCCGATGCCTTTCCCGCATTCGGTAACTCAAACTATATCTGACACTTGCATATGTAGTACTCGTATACGTCAAATGGCTTGCGCAATATATTGACTGGGATCTCCCAGAAGTTTACTAAATAGGTTGGCTTCACAGTGGCGAGGATTTTGTATCGGCGATCTGTCACACTTGAATTGAATCCCGCCTTCTGTTTCTGGACCGAGCCTGTGTAACCCTTATTTCTGTCAGCCAGAGTTTGACTTGGGTTCCTGTTCTTCGAATGACACGTGGTGATTCGTCTCAGGCGCGTCTTGGTTTGGTACTCCATAGACACTAAAAGGCCATACAGCAACCCACTAATCGCACCATCGTTCCGTTACTATCACCCCTCGAGGCCTTGCTGGACCCAGATGAATTTTCCCTGTAGGCTACATCAAGTCAGTTATTGGCAGTCTGTTGAGCTAGACTTCAACTTGTTGTCATCTGGATCAGACACACATTCATTCAAGCACAACTGCCCATCCTCCCTAGAAATAGAGAAATGAGACCTCACACCCCTACACCTACTACCCACCATTCGAGATTGAGTATGGTGTTGAGACTTCATACGTATTCTTGTTTCGAATGAATCGAATCTGCGTCCCCCCGCCCCACACACACCTTCCACCAAGTAGTATAGCCCTGTACTCCAAATAATATTTTCTGAATTACGAGGGCATTTACATAAAGACCGAAGTCAGGGCCCATTCCTTGTGTGTCAAAGAGGAACAGCAATAGTATAAATAGTATATGAGCTCCGTTTGATTTCCTTACATATCACTACAAACACAGTATTCACCATGGCTTCCACCACCGAACGTCACTATAAGTGTGAGAAAAGAACTCCCACTCACCTTCAAACAACTCAATCAGACACCTCCTTCGCCACCAAATGCGGTATACACAACTTTCGCGACATTGGAGGTTGTCAATCAGCCGGGAGCATTGGTGTTCGGAAAGGATATATATTTCGATCTGCCAATCTCAACGAGATCACCTCTCTCGGCGCCAATGTTCTTGCCAAGGACTTTGCTATTCAGGTTGTATTTGACCTGCGATCAGGAGAAGAGAGCAGCACAACCAACAATGCCTTCGGGAATGGCATCGAAATTCGGCATCTCCCCGCAATGAACTGGAAACGATGCGAGGAGCCTCTTGTCAAGCATTTCACCTGGCTGTCACACGACATCACCGCGGCATTTTTAGTGATCTATGAGCGTCTATGCCTTGAGTGTGCCCCAGCTTATCGAGTCATATTCAATCATATCAAGGATCACCCCAAATGCCCAATCCTCGTTCATTGCGATATAGGCAAAGACCGCACCGGACTTTTGATTGCCCTAATACTCAAAGTGCTTGACATCTCCAACGATGATATTGAGGAAGAATATCATCGATCCGAAATCGAAATTGTGCCCCTTATTGCCTCGAAATCTAGGAAGCTGCTGGAAAATCCTGTTATTGCAAATCACTCTACAGACATAGGAAACCATTTCTTGGCTCCTAGGGAGGCAATGCGGGCATTACTGTTGCATGTTGAGGAGGTTTATGGGGGCGGAGAAGGATATTTAAGTTTTCTAGGATTCACCGATGCGGACATCAAGTCTATCAAAGGAATTTGAGTGAGAGCAAGATGTGTTGATCGTTTCCAAGCACGAGCGTTCCCTGATTCCTATCATTTCGCTACCTGCATCGCCCCTGTGGAATATTCGACCACTATCCCTTCAATAGCATCGTCAAAGAATACCTCTATCTGATTTGCGCTTGGTGGTACAGGTTGCCAGTCCACGTCATTACAGTCAAACCCCGTCAAAATCGACACGACTTTTTGTAAACCTCTATCACTTTCGAACCATAGAAAGGAGTGCCAAGGCTGCCTAATTAGGTATAGCGCCCACTTATTTTACTAACTTTTCTTTCAAATAGTCACAAGGTTGCTCTTCAGGCCTACCGCCCACGAGACTAATAAAATCCTATTAGTTCTATTGGCCTGATCATGTATCCCGCCGTTTTGGTCAGAATTCTGCCAGATTTAAACATCCCTAAAATACGAGTGCACATTACATAACCGAAAATGCCAAGGCCCCTCGCCAAGGTTGAGGTATGTACTTTCCGACGATCCTTCGATTTTATCGGGTTTTGACTGCATATGTTGTAATGAGATATCCTACGTGGATGAAAATCTCCAATAAATATCTATATTGCCTACAATGACGACATTGGCTTGAGATTCTTTATGTGATCAAACTTTAAATGATTGATAGATATTTTTGAAGACTTGCTAGTAATAATGTCTTGTTAGACTAGATCGCTAATGCCTTACTAAACTAAATGCCAGTATACCGTTTGCTTTAATGCTTCAACTTCACCGATGTTTTTTAATATTACCGTTGATCTTCTTAATATAGGAAACTACTACCTTATTAACTTATTCTCTGAACAGAATGCTTGCTTCCAACATATCATTACTTTGTCAGGTTAAAACCAAGTTCAAAAGCAAAAGCGGAATGTGCCTCATGAATAAAAATCAATAACCAAATCACGGTACAATGTTCACGCGGGATAATTTTATGAAAACCAAGGGATAAAAAAAGTAACAAACATTATTTCCTTCGATTGAGGTCCAGATGGCTGCGAACCAAATCCCCAGCCGCTAATGCAGAACACAGGCTTAGTTCTCCAGCCAATACAGCTGCAGCAACTATTTTCGCAAGCTTTTGTGCATTTTGGCCGGGATTTTCCGGGTTTGGACCACGGACATCAAGTAAATCTAGGAGTGAGCCCTGTGTCTGTAGATTGGTTCCTCCGCCGACCGTTCCAACCTCGATGGATGGCATTGTAACAGAAATCTGTAGATCATTTTCGACGCTTGACGAATTTTCAGCCTATAGTAACCAGAAAAGAATGGAAAGGAGTTCTTGCTTACAGGCTCATGGTAGTAATACAGCTGCTACTCTCAACATTCTGCGCAATATCTTGACCTGTTGCAAGGAAGATAGCAGACACGATGTTGCTCGCATGAGCATTGAATCCACCGATTGCTCCAGAAACTGCGCTTCCAATCAAATTCTTGGATGTGTTAAGCTCAATCAAAGCTTGTGGTGTCGTTTTGAGCATTTTTTCAACCAAATCCTTCGGGATCCGAGCCTGTGCTGCCACACTCTTCCCTCGCCCTTCGATCCAGTTAATAGCTGACGCTTTCTTATCAGAACAGACGTTTCCTGATAGTGTGACAGTAATCATATCGTCAAACCCAGCATTTTTCATGACAGAAAGCATTTTCCCTGCGGCGAGAGAAATCATGTTCATTCCCATGGCATCTCCTGTAGTGGCACTTAGACGTAGATAAAGGAGTTCGCCCACCGGGAAGGCACGAATGTCTGTAAAGGAAGCAAACCTGCTTATGGTGGAAAATTCCTTTGCTATCGCAGACTTTCCTTCTGGAGACTCGATCCAACCTTTTGCATCGATAGCGCGGGCAAGAGTTGGAAATTTAACACATGGAGCACGTGTCATAGAATCTGCCATCAAAAATGTCTCGACACCTCCAGACTCATTGATAACCTTTGATCCGCGGGAAATGCTGGCAACCAAAGCTCCCTCCGTAGTTGCAATGGGAAGGAATGTTAGCTTTTGGTCAACTATCAGTGGACCGGCAATCCCCAGTGGAACGGTGAGATATCCAATGGCATTTTCACAGCATGTCCCCACAACATGGCTGAAGTCGAAGTCTTTATAAGGAAGTGACTCGTAGAATGAGGTCGATATATTTTCCGAGCGGCATTGTGTTCTCAGAAGCTCTCGACGAACTTCGACAACCTGTAGGGGATTATGAATTAAAGAATCCAAATCCTTCATACTGATGCTGCCATTTAGGCATAGCTCAACGATATCTTCGTTTGAAAGATTTTTGTAGTTCTTTCCAACGTTATCCAAGGTATTGACTTTCAACGGAACGGGAGGAGATTCGATTGTCTGTGTCATGGCTGGCTTTAAGGCGAATTTGGCTAATAGGGCCTATAAATGTTAAAGTTATTGAAATGCCCGAATAGTATTCAAGTGTATGGTAAATATCCGAAACTTATTAAAGACACTAGGTAGGACAAGGGCGGGCGAAACAGAGATAATCAATCATCTGAAAAGAAACAGGAATGGCGAAATGGAATCAAACGAAACTTGCCTTTCTTTTTTTGTATAAAACAACAGATATGATTGACCGTATCAATTTTCTCAAGTGATGAGTGAATGAAAAAGTAGCAACTATTTATATGATGGGAACTCTCGAGTCTTATGTGGCTACAACTCGCTCAGGGCACTATGTAGGATCCCATCCCCTCCTCTCTCACGGATATCGCTATTCTGTGCAGCTGCCTTTCATGCATCTTCGTCATTTGTGTAACTCTATACTAACGATTTTTTGATAACATTACTTATTATCCTACATGGACACTGCTAAGGAGAGGACTTAGGGGCAACATCACCGAAAGAGGGATGGAAATTTTCAAAATAGGGTCCAAGCAACCACACATGTTAAAGACAAAAGCCAATCTATGTTGCACGGTTGAAAGGGCTAAATTCTGAGAAGGGGACTAAGAGGACCGAATGAACGTTGTTGATATGGACTGTGGATACCTAAAATGTTGTTAAAAACTATGCCCACGTCAGTACTCAACGCCCCAAAGCCAAAATCTAAGGGGATTCCAACAAAGATAAAAGTATGCTTACCCGATATCCACCACTTTAACAAACCAATAAATTCGATGCGTGCTGAACTACGAAAGTAGTGCAAATTGCTGAAATTGGCAACCAACGCGAAGATCAGGCATAAACTTTGGTTCTATACATAAGTTGATTGTCTCTAGATGACAAGTCCGCCTCCATTATAAATTTTTGCTTGTTTTCTTTACGGAAAGTCTTTAAACTCCGTTCGTTCCCTTTGTTTGGCTCAGCTTCTACAAAAACTGCTACATCATGATAAAACTTGTTGGAAAGGTAGAGAGAAAGCATGACGTTTTGGCAGATCACTGAAAGTTAGATCCAAGGTCGGGACACTTTCTGAAACGTGACATTGATGCCACAAACTAAAATAGGAAGTCTTGAATCTTGTGTTACCATGGGGTTTCTCGCACCTGGGCAAGGCCATAAAATTAGGTAATCCTGAACGACGATCAGGGAATCAGGGAATCTCTACAGACACCACACCTCACACGTTTCTCTAACTAGTTAACGAGAATCCCGGCGGGTTCGTCATCCCTGCCACCCCATCAGAACTTGAAATTTTATTATTATTTTAGATGCCATTTAACAACCAAAACACCATTAAAGTGAATTTAAGCCTTCTACGGGCATATAATAATCCTATGCCCCTTTTTCTCCGCGTTTAAATGTAATATAAGGGGCAAGATAGGAAATGTAGGGTTTAACCTGGGGTTCTGGAGCAGGTATAGGACCAGATATATATCTTGCACTAAACCCTTCCTTACTACATATTACAATTATCTTTCTAGATCTATAGACGAAAAGCAATGCGTACGCCCGGTTCCCAGCCCAAAAAAAGTTATATAGCCTTTTTGTGTAAATTGTCCAACAGTGTGTTGTCGATTCTTCGAAGGTGGGCCGGCTTTGGTGGATGACTTCCATTCTCGTGTCCGTGACTAGTCGATTAGCGATGTCATACCCTGGATCATCACATTGTCCGGGTATCCATTGAAGACGCCCGATTCCTCTGCTTGGATATCCCTAGCGGCCTGAACGATCGCTTGAAAGATGTGTTGTCCCGAACTGTTCCCGGGAATTCTGGATCGCCTGCGAAGCTAACCTGCTAACAAAAACATCCGACAAGAAAGATGAAGGACAAGCAATAGCGATGATTCTATAGATTTGCTAAAGGGGCATAGTTAACACTGATTTATAGAGAAAATAACTCGAAATGCCTTCTGGTTATGTGAAATTTGGGGCTAGAACCCGGAATGTAGGAAGAAGGGATGCCGAAAGACGTATCTTTGATTTACCATTATTAGTTCACACCGCATGAGCGACCGTGAGCTGCTCCCTAAGCAACCTGATGCTGACTTGAATGGTAAGAAATATCCCAAGATGTTCTAGGACTTTAATATTAAATATCTGTCACGAAATGAGTTTCGTTTCCGGCAATGGTAATTCGAAGAAATCTGTCATACTATCTAAAGGTATAGACTAGTTATAGAGGGAACATCTACATGTATTTTCTAAATTAGTTCTTATCTCGACGAATCTAAGCAGAAGTCTTTTGGCAAATCTGTCATAATCAACAAGAAAGCTTCAGATTCCTTGTGGGGGGAAAAGCAGATGTCACCACCAGCCCTACAGCGATAGCAGAAACATTCTAGGGATTGTAAAATTTAAAATAATAGTCAACGCCAGGTACAACCTGCAGGTGACTGACCAAAACGAATATTATTAATGAAATAAGTAGTAGCACATTAAGTATCAGAGCATCTCTCTCATGATCGAGAAGAGACTAAAAGAGGCAGCGTTTCCATCGAATCGTTGCAGGCATGAGACCATGGAAGACATCAAAACCAAGAGCCCTAGGCTCGTAGATCGTACAAACTCAACCATATACCGACATCACCCCCTCAACGCTGTTAACCACAACCAGAACCATAACTGTAACGATGATCCAATAGTATCCCAAATTACCAGGTAGTACATAGCCGCTACAGACGAGAGCAATAACCAAGCTCAAGGCTCAGTCTACATCACGCGGCCCACCTTCCATGACAAAGGCCCATTTAAACCTGGGTCATGTTAGGGCGAGCGCCCGCGCCCCGACGGCTGGTAGAACGGCTGCGCGAGGGGCCGCCAGCAGAACGGGACATGAACACAGAGACAACGGTGGAGGCCATGTAGCCCGCCCAGGCGAACCAGAGGAAAGCAGTAGAGGCTTGGGCCTCACGGCATCGCTTACCCATGTTGTGTGCGCCATTGGTGATCTCATTGGTCCTGAGGTACGCCTGGAGAGGGGTCAGCGTTACTTCGCTCTTATCTCACATATTTACTGCCGATATGCGATCTTATGTTCAGTTCAACTTACTTGGTTGTTGCAAGAGTGGGCATGCAGCCTCGCAGCGAGCGCGATGCCAGCGGTGAAGAAGAAAATGGCGTTCAGCGCGTCGAGGACGATCATGATGATCGGGTGGATGGCCCAGTCGATGTTGTATGAGGCCGGGATCAGGTAGAACAACGTGAACATTGAGAAGACACCTGCGTAGAGCGCGTAGTTTACGGTCGCAGGGTTCCCGGAGAAGGCATCGGCGATCATGTTACCGACGAGGGCCATAACGAGCAGGGACCATAAGAACTGCGAGTTTAGTTAGTACTAAACTTGAGATTATTCATAGCTTTTAGCTGTCGCCGTTGCGATTGCACGTACCTCCCAGGCTCTGAGACCTAGCTGCACACCCCGGAGACCCATTTTTGTAGATATAGATTAGATTGAGTTCGAGCTTAATTTTAGATGTCGCGTAGATCGCGAGAAGGGAGGCTTGTCGTAAAGGTATAGGAAGCGAAGAGTAAAGAATAGCCTATACGTCGATTCAACAGTATATAAAAGCTCTGGGAAAACGACGAGGTTATAACTCGGATGCTCCGGAGCTCAGTGATGACATGGGGAAGCAACATCCCTAAAGGCTAAAACCCGGCCCTACGTCATGCATCCGGGAACGAGCAGCCCTATTGGACTATGTTGGATGTCAGCTGTAGGATGTTGTTGATGAAATCATGAAGGTGTTGCACTCTGGTCAATGATGAGTTCTTGACTAAGAGTCTTTCTGTGAATGAGGACTTGCTTTTTTCCTTGATCCACCCAAAATTTTACTTTTTTCAACATTCCAATTTTGAAGACTCCACTGGAAGGAATCTAGTTCATTCATTGTAATGGGTCTTGCAATATGTCTATCATTTCCATTTGTGGGTTTCTCCTCATTGACCACAAGTTCGGCATTTTGACTAGTTATGTGAGAACGGTACCTTTGTACGATGTAGACCTATATAGAGGATTCTGGAGTACTCGATAATATCAAGGAGATGATTTAAATCTAATCAAAAAAGAAAGGATGATTGTTCCAAATAGAGAAACAAATTAGAAAAGCGAAAAGAAACGCTAACCCTTATTAGCACTACACTCTAAAATGAGTTATGGAACCCGTATTTAATGGTTGGGCTTTCAGTTCTCGCCTTATATTCCTTAAGGGGCAGACAGATAATCCCAATCCTAAGTTCCATTTCCTATTCAGAAGACTACAAAGACTACAGTACAGGAAGACAATTACCTGCTTGCATGGATAAAAAAATAATATTCAGTTGCAGTGCAACTATGCTCGACTAGCACCGGTTCGCAACAACCACCCTTCACTAGTTCTCCTCAAAGGCGCTTTGAACGGATCCATATCTAGAAAGGTCAGCATTTATATATCCCAGATCCACTCATATACAACTCGCCCTTGAGTACACTGGCTAGCCAACGCAACACTGCCACTGCGCCTGTAGCAGACCTTGGCCTTCTGGCACGCGGAAGTAGTGCATCTGGGGCCCTTGACACTCTGCTTCCCCCTGGTAAGTGTTATGCAGACTGACAAACTCCACGTCCTTCTCCATGGCCTCGGTAACCCGGTGCCAGAAATGTCGCGTTCAACGGCGCATCTTCGTCTTACCCAGCTGCCAGTCCATATGCATTGCGGGTGGAATATTCAATCTCAAAGGTCGGACCCGTGTGATCCAGAGCCGGGTAATCCGACACATTGCTGTATAAGGTGTATGCTTCGTATATGTTGAAATCGCCCGTGTCGACTTCATACAAACGGAAACCACTGTTGAGATTTGTCAGAGGGGTTATGCTGGGCATGATCCAACCGGTGGTGAGGGCGTTTTCTGCATTCTGCACAGTCCCGTTGTTGGCATAGTAAACCATGAACTGGTCCTCGTGTGTGTGTCCCAAGAAGATGTTGGCAATAACGTGGGCCGAGTAGCGGTCCACGATTTGGTAAAATAGATCGGTCGGATTGGGGAGGTGCGTTGGTCCCGTCCTAGTCACTGAGGACATGGCCGATTATTCAGACACGCTTACCGGCATCCTCGGCCTTTTGCAGTTCCTCGATAATCCAGGAGAACACCCCCGAGTTATCGGAGTTAGTGGTGTTGATGAAAGTCAAAAGTTGTATCGGTACCACAAGTCTATGAGAGTGAATGGATAAATCCTAAATAAGTTGACAACAACATACCGGTGTTGAATGCAGTGATGCACAGTCCGTAGCGTGTCTCGACAGAGTAGCCGCCATAATGCGTTCTCGCTTCCTCGGCGGCCTCACGACTAATCCACCCTTCATGGCGCCACAGTCCAGCCAGGTGCTCATAATTCCAGATTTGTTGTTCCCCCAGACGCCCAGGGAGGCTATGGGGAGAATCGATGTTTGCAGGACTGGTGTCATGATTTGAAAGTGCCACAAAGACAGAACCGGAGAGATAGTGTTTCAACATGCCGTAAATGCTGGTCTCCGTATACTGGGTCAACGCCTTGGATATCTGGGATGCCGGATCATGCGATACTAGATCGCCCGTGTAGAGTGTCCATGCAAGGTGCTCATCTTGTTTTCCTTTGCTAGTTCCAGTCAGAGCACCAACAAACAGCCTACAAAGCAGCAAGACCCAAGTCATATGGGGTATCGCACAGTAAAGAGCCATACGTTTAGGCAGAAAGCAGTGGGCTGTCTTCGAAAAGGTCGTTGAAGTTGTCATTTCGACAGCAGAGGCTGGACGTGCAGTTTGCTTCAGAACTGACTGCATACCGGGCATCGAGATGGAAGTCTGACAGACGTAGTACCTTGACCCGCTCCCCACTTGCCTCGGGGACCTGGACATCTGCAAGTTTGGGCTTGGGGAAAAGCTTGGTCGTGTCAACCAGGTTGGTCTTTGGCGCGCTGCAATACTTGCTGCTGAGAGAATGGCAGATGTATTGACTATCCAATCCTTCTACATCGGCGTATGCCAGCAGCTGGGTCCAGATAGCACCGAAGGTGTTCGCAGCATAATCTTGCTCGCACGTCTCGTTGGCATGGAAGCGAAAGACCTTGCACAGGCTGACCATGGCATTCAGAAAGCTGGGGCATGGAACGCAGCAGGCTTCGCTGCAGCTAGGGCGTTCTTGCATTTGGTACAGTCGTTTTCTGAGCTATTTGACTTGATTATGTTGGTCACATTGGATAGTGCTTCTTGAACCAGCTTATACCACTTTTTGGCAGGCATATGAGTTCGCGGCACAGGGAAGTAGACCTCATCTTGATTGTCTGGGATGTTGTCAGGACCCGTCAACTCGAAAGGGAAGGTGAGCTCCAACACTGGATCATAGAGAATCGGCTGGGGTTGTTGGGTTGGCTGGGCTGGGGAAAGGTAGTAAGATCTGTCATTCACATTAGCACACCCATGTGCCCGAGCCGCCAGAACGTCAACAGTAATCATACGCGAATACAGAGGTCGGAAACCCAGCAGCAGCCACATACGATGAGTTGCCTGGGAGGGAGACAGCAAAAGCAACATGTAAGATCAGAGATGTAGTCCCCAGGAGGCCAGGAGAGCCATCTCGAATAAACCTGAGTGCGATATTTATGCAGGCGAATGAGAGGAGAGTTGAGCGAAGAGCAAAGAAGAAAGGAAGAGAGCAAAACTGGTGATGTTTAAAGACTTCCAGGTTAATGTAGGTACGATGCACGTGGTGGAGAGGGTGTACGTGAGTGGAAAGCGATCTTGACAAACATTCTCTGGACCAGTCATGTTATTTTCAGCTTCAGTGGCTTGCTATCTAGCATATCTTTATTGAATGACCAGTCTCTTGAAGACCTCTGATTCAGATACATCAAAAACAATGATATTGACAGTTCCAAATCCACAACCTTAGTCAAAATGCCCATCTAGTTATCGAGAAGGCTTAACCTTCAACGATGTTCTGGCTGCCATATGGTTTGGGACCACGCGACTGAAGATGCATGCATGAAAAACCGCGTCAACTACACCATCCACAGCGGGCGGTGGGGAAACAGGTCAACTTCCAGACCGCGGATTACTGGTGTATGCGACTGGCTCGAGCAGACGGAGACGATCTGTTCGCGCTCGTGTAGGACATCCCGCAGGAAGAACACTACACTGCTGAACGTGCCCAAGGGCATTGAGAGAAGGCGAGAATGCACATGGTGAGAAGCGGGATCCAAGTGAGACACAGAGAAGTGTCGTGGGCCTGCGAAGCTTGGGAGCCGGACAGGTTGCATGCTGTTGAGTGGGCAGGCTGGTGCCTTGGAATCCCGGAGGCCGGGGTATTTGAAGCCCGTTGAGTTTGCCGACTTTTTGAATGTCGGATATGACAGACTCCATTCGGCAGTAATGAAGAGTAATTTGGTAGATTCCAAGCAGCGAGCGACATGTGTCAAATGTATTGCCATGTCGCTGTACAGCATAGATATTGGACGGCCGCATTTCTTCGTGGGCATTGAATCAATCAACTTCGTACTTTTCATCTGGAAGTTGTCAAGTATTCAAAGTGACGAGGATGGCGCCGTGGGCACAGAGAAAATGATTGGCGTGCTGATGTATTTTGCCGTTTCAACCCAGTCATGGAATGCACGTGTGCCAAAGAAAAGTGGTGCGCTGGGATCTTGCTCGGACTCGCAATTTTGTTTTGCGATGAAAAGCCACCATGGCCTGGCACGCATAGACGAAAACTGCAAGTTAAGTACCGAGAAGCGCCAGAGGTCAAAGGGCGTAGTGTATCACCCACCACCCACAGAGAGTGAGAGAGAGAGAGCAAAGAAAAAAAAAACCCGAGGACGATCTGAAGACCGACCTCTGCAGCCTAGTTTAATCGTGAGTGCTCTTGGAAGATCCACTAGAAGGAGCCTGCACACAGACAAGTTCAACCATGATATCATCCGGGCGGTCCGGTGGTACACTATTATAAGAAGGCGCGCGACTGATGATGCCAACTGCCACCTGGGAAGCTTGGTTGTGGGCATTCATGTTGTCAAGGTACCAGACCTGCCAAGGCCAAGCGCCCGAGCCAGGTGGCATGATAGTGACGTTCTTATCGGGGACACGTTCCCTGGCGAAATCTAGAAAGGTTAGAACATAACTTTAGGAAGGAAGAACAATTGACATACCTTGGACTGGAATAGCCGCGACGTCAAGAGTGGGCGGCGGGCACTCAGGAAGTGGGGGCGGCTTGGTCAACATCTTGTTGAGAACGACCTCAAGAGGCTTGGAATAGTACTCGCCCGACACAGCAAGACGATACATCCCATTCTGTAGGGCACTCTTAAGATCACGGGAACATTTATCCCCCCAAATCCCATCGCATCCATTGTTCGCCCCGGAAGGGGTACCGGTCAAATTGCCTATCCTGAGACCGATTTCCGAGGTGCGATTCGAGTCGACAGCATTCACGTTGATATTTTTATTTTGATATCCCAGCCAAAACGCTGTCTTGGTCATGGGCCCTTGGCCCTTGCCGGAGGAACTGGCATCGAAGCCGTAGTAGAGCGTGACGGGGTCCGGGAAGAGAGGTTTGAGGTCGAAGCGAATTGCAGTTTGAGCGAGCGAGTCGATGCATCCATTATTCCAGAACGAGCAGAACTGAGCCGATACAGTTTGTAGCAATACCATCAACAGGGCTAGGGACCCGAGGCTCAGATTGAAAGCCATATCCAGGGGTTATATGTCCAGCAAGAGTGACCGCGGAGGCCCTCAAAGTCAGGATAATCGAGAGCAGACGTATTGCAAGTTCATTACGGGGAAAGGAGGTAATAAAAAAAAGGGTGGGAGATTAACTGATAAAAGGCTGTCAACGGATGGGAAAGCCAGGGAAATGGGTCCCCGCAATACCTACTAGGGTCTTTTTAGTGAAGAGAATGAGAGCTAGTCTCAGGTAAAAACCAAAAAAAAAAAGGGTCTGTGGTGTGTTATTTCACCGGGTCCTAGGGAAACAAATAATGGAGCTTCCGGGAGAACCTTGGATAAAGGAAAAATGCCGAGTTATTGCCAAGGAGAAAAGAAACTAAATATACAAATGTACGGAGACTCCGTACTCCGTACAAGGAAGTACTATGTAGTATTTCAAAGTAATAAAAATTGCAGTTTCTCCGAACATTCCTTTCTAAGAAAGGTGTGATTTGGAAACTCGGGTACCTGCTGGGTACCTGAAAGGTACTTGATGCATAGTAGTGGAGTCAGGGAAGAGGCAAGTCTCCTTTAGGTACCCCCTTTATTGAAAATGGGAATATTTTATACGCTAAACCAAATGCCCCCGCATTGCCAACCCAAAACGGGAAGTTATTGACGACGATCAGCAACAGGGTCAAGCAGGGTCCAACCACTTAGATGCGACATATGCCTCACAGTTGAGGATTTGGTATGTATTGGTATTATATCGATCCTTTCTCTTTTCAGAGTTAAGGTCAGATCTTCCTCAGATCATGGATTTGCATGACCTCATCTTCATTCCAGATGTTTCAGTATTGCATTGCCTTCTGAGTGACAGAACAAACTGTGTCAATAATAGCCAATAATACTCCGTAGTAATATGAGATCTGTGCCATATGCAAGACGCCGTGATGCAGACCACCGATTGCCAGATACGTATAATCCTTGTCTGTCCTCCGATAGGCCCCAATGCAATAGCTCCTCTGACGTAAGAAGAAACCGACCAGAAATAATCGGCGACTGGAGAATTTAACTGCGTCATTTGGTTTCTAGGGTCTGAAACACACTCTCATTGGTGTTGTCATCTCGGGTTCGCGTGTTTTCAGCCAAGGACCCTTGGCTGATTCGGCTGCCCGTTAGCGTGCAATTATGTGTATCGCGAGACGCCAGAATCCACTTAATCCAGTAATCCTCCGTATGTATTTTCATGTTACTCCGGAGATGATAAAATCCCTCGTTTGCTAAGCACGGAAGAAAAACAAAATTAATTCTACACAATGGAATGTCGGCTTACCTACCTAACCTTTCGGTATGCATACAACATGTAGTGATTCTCAAAGTGCATCCATCTGCCTCCGACCTGAACCCGGCCTTCCTTATCTTTATTCTCAGTCATCTTTAATACATAGTTACAATATCCGAAAATTCAACGCATAATATGCGTAAAGAAAAGCAACATAGTGATTTCAGATTTGGAGTCGCGTAATTAGATAAGAACGAAATAACCTAGGGTTTCCTAACAAAAAAACAACCGCGAGCCAATATTGGGCTAGGGAGTTCAGAACAATGCTACGATCTCGAAATGTCATTCACACCTTTCCGCAGCACAGCCTGCGATTCATTGATAGAGGAAGCCAGTCTGTGGAATCTGTCCCTCTCACACGTAAGGTCATCGGAAGCGGAGTTGATCAGCCGCAGGGTATCTCGACCTCGGCGGTTTGAGTCTCGTTCAAGTTGTCACGTGGGTCATTGATTTGCAGGTGGCTTTGCCGATGGCGCTTACCAGAGGCAAGAGGTGTGTGGCATCTTCTGCATCAACAATGTCTTCTGCATCAACAATGCGGCGTTGCCGGCGGTGCCGGCTTGGTGGCGGTGTTGATGGTCTCCATGTTGTCTTCCAGATCTCCAACAAAACTGATGAACGAAAACGTCTGAATCTTGATAATAATCTTCTGTTAGAAGTAAGATGGCCAGCTGTGTCACGGTAAATAGACATACCTCGACGCTCGTTTTGGCTTCTGGTCGATATCAGGAACCGAAGCGAATCAAAGTGGTGTGGTTGGATGGGCTAGCATAAGACACGTCCACCAAAAGGTGATATTGTTGATGCACCGGAAACCACCGAGACTTGATGGCATACCCGATGACCAATAGTTTGCGCCTGAAGCAGCTTGTTTCGTCTAGCTCCAGAGAATAAATACCAGACAGGCAGGCACCAATGGTGATGAGGGAAAAAACAAAAGAAAGCCAAAAATAGAAATTGATATATATTGTACAATGAACCTTCAAATGAGCGTTAAACATGCCCCTTAGCATACATGTACATCCCAGAGGCTTTACCCCATGCAAACAGATAGACATATACAATTTCGAATACCAACAATCAAAAAAGATTTGAGGGAGAGTGAGCATATCCCCACGCCAGAACTCCACGCTTGAAATCAGAATGCAATGATGGGCAGATAACCCATGCAAAAACATGACAACCTAAAACAGAAATGGGTGTCAATCACGACTTGTCGTTTTCAATAGAACGGTCCTTGCCATGCAGCCAGACGCGCTTCCATGGACCGTCAGGTCCGAAAGCTGCTTCTCGGTCTTGGCGCATGCCTTCTAGGACAGCAACAACACCACCGCTGCGCAGGCGCTCAAGGACAATGTTCATGCCCTGCTTGCTCTTCAATACGGCCTCTTTAGTTCGACTCACACCGATGAGCTCAATGGTCCGCTGTATGCCGGCAGTGGAAAGGGACGAGAAGAATCCTTTGCGAGGCTCTTCGTCTTCATGATCACCAGTGCCCTGCTTCTTCTTCCCAAGCAGCTTGCCCTGTCCGAGTCGGGAGCGGAAGGTAACCGTAGTCTTGACACTAGTCTGTTCGGAGCTTTTGTCGACGGCGAGACCATCGAGAGCTAAGCGGTCTTCCTCGGATAGGATCCGCTTGTAGCATTGCTTCTCAACCACGCTTAGGATGCCTGTCCACTCCATGTTGCGGGACTCAGTCTCCATCCACCCCTCCTTGGCATCGACAATAGTCTTCTCAAGGATATAGCTCTGCCCGGAACTGTCTGAGCCTCCCATGCCTTTTGGCAGAAGCTTTAGGATTCCAGATGGGACCTTGGACTTTTTCAGATGTAGTCGGATAGTGTGAAGGCGCTGAGTCTTGGGGTCGACGTATCTGTCAATGACATCGGTTGTGAGGACATGGCGAGAATAAGGATTGGGATAGCGGAGGAAATACGCGAGGGAGACGGCGGGGAAGGAGTAATCGTAGGTGAAGTTGTTTTCGAAAAACTTCATGATGGCATTCGGTGATTCATGTAGATGGATTTATTGAGTAGCAGAAAGGGCAAGGAGTCGTCTGATCCAGGTACTTTTTGAGAAGGCGAGCAAAGGTACAAAGTGGGGACTGAAGGGGATGAACAGTTATTCCGAGGGAAATCAGATGCTCAAGATCACATGCACCTCACGTGGTCCGGGGATTAGGCCTATCATCGGCCCGCAATAGCTAATGTGTATAATTCCACTCTTGTATTTTTCTGATTGTTATATAAGAAAGTCAGGTCTCGAGGCAGATTCTGTATACAGAACTTTAACGCTTCATATTACCTATCGTGAAAATAAGTACTTGGGGAAAAAAAGAGAATCAAAACGATGCCTCATGTCTTCAGCAGATGTACGGAGTACAACTTGAACGATTGAGAAGGGCATGTTATCGCAGCTTTTGTTCTATTGTGGCCTGGCTTTGAAGGCAAGCAAGGCATTATAAATTCCCATTTTGGTAACCAAATGAAGTCCATAATAAATACCCTAACGACACCTCCCTTTCTCCCTCTCCCCACCTTTTACTCTGCTCCATCCCTCCTTCACCTTTTAAGCAAGCCGATCTTCATTCACAGAACCTGCAAAACATTTATCGGCCTCTACACAGCAAGCCAATCTAACTTTCCTTCCATTCTGATCATCTTTTCGCTTCACTGTGAACATATTTTCCACCAAGAACATCAACACAGACACACTCACTCTTCTTTCTACGTCTTTCGAGAATAGAATTTCACTCCCATCTGGCTGTGGTGTGTGCGGGAAAGATGGAGTTCTTCGCTACTCTGGCTGTAAAGTGATGATGTACTGTGGTGTCGAACACCAGACCGCTCACCGCCAAGAGTATAAGTCTGCTTGCAGCCTGATCAGAAGATGTCGTATTGCTATGGAGAAGGAAGAACAGGCCTTACGGGATCACCCAGATGATCCCTTCACCCACCGTGTCGGAAACTTCTGGGGGATCCTCGAGACACGCCCTTACATGCGATTCCGCGCTGCCCTGTGTAATATCATGAGTTAAGAATGTCGAATCGGTTCAAACACAGCTCGACCTCTTGATGGAAAACCTGCGGCTTTGCCGGGGCGACAACATGGGCTCGCGAGATGTCGTCCCCGGCCTGATGATTCGTCTCCAGCAGGACCAGGAATGCTACGATTTTCTGAAGTGGTGGGCTACGACCGGCCAGAAGCACGACTATGATTGGGGTAACACCACTCTGCCGTACCTTGACATCAAGAACGCCAATCCGCTCGAACCAGTCGATATGTTCTGTGACAAGTTGATTGATCTTCACCATCTCGTTTCTGTGACTCTAGTCAAGGCCAAAGTGCTTCAAGTTATCCTCACACGCATGAGATCTCCTGATGAAAGTGTTGCCCACATGCTGGGACTCAGACTCGAACCATCGACTATCGCCAACTGTGCGGACGGATGGCTCGAAGGTGTGAGATTAAAGGCCCAGATTCGCGTTTTGTACGAGAACGTCCACAAATTGAACCCCCACTTTTGGCCGGCCCTTGTGAATCCAGGTGGAAATTTGGAGGCCAAAACCACAATGTTTTCGATTGGGAGCGCGGACCAGATGCGAGTGGCCTTGAACTTGACCTATGAAGCATGGCACGAGGCTCCTGGGGCCATTGCTGTTATTGAGATGGCCATTGAGATAAACCTTGATGAGGTCCCCGTCAACTAGAGATATTTCGAGGTTTGAATGAGATGCGAGGATGGTGGAAGCGGTTTTCGAGCATTACGCAATCCAAGTTTGATCACCTAAGATCGAGGTCGTCTTCTACAGAACAAATACAGTTCCGAAGTAAATATGTACTCAGAATAGTCCCTTTAATAATTATATTTAGGGTTTCCATCAATCCTCCATTCATTGAACATCAAAAGCAACTGAATATCCGAAAATTTGAAAGTAACATAAACGTGGAAACTCGTAGAATAGACCCTTTCTGGTTATTTTAGGTGATCATTTTGGTTCTTTCTGTAAAGAAACCATTAGCCCCTACATCTTATATATGCCTAAACAAGAATACATAGTCGGCTGCTTAGATGGCCGCTGTCCATGACGATGTAGGACTTCAATAATCAGATACGTTTGGCTCACAATGATAATGAAGTCGTTATATTAAATAAATAGAAAGCAGTAGGCTGTCTTTAGCCCAACAGAACACCTCAAATTGAAAACTTATTTAACTCAGGCCCTTCTGTCGATGTGTCAAAATATCAACAACCCTCAGGGCTTCTAAGGTTACATTCCTTAGCACGTATAGGTCTTCCATGGACCGGTAGCTCCCGAGCTTCGTCTGTGGAATAATCCGGATTTACCCCTCACCTTGGAACAATTTCATTCTTTCGCAACCCACCATGGGGATGAAAGCCCGCTGCCAATGTGGCAAGATTCAATTCACGACACCGACGGATAAACCTCTGAAACTCTGGATCTGCCACTGCACAGAATGCCAGCACCAAAGCTCGTCCGCGTTCGGCATCACCGCAACATTTCCGTACTTCGACCTCCCTGAGTCAGTTTCCGATCTGGTCAGCAGCTACACTCGTGTCACCCTCAAGGGACGCGATATGGAGTGCCTTTTCTGCAAGGAGTGTGGCTCACGCCTTTTCCATCGCTTCCGGGATACTGTGCCTGCAGCTGGCGAACAGCCCGAATTTTCTGCAATTACCAATGTGAAAGGTGGTTGCTTGGAGGATCTTAATAAAGAGATGCTGCGAACCGCAGTTCATATCTGGTGTCAGGAGGCGATTATTGATATTCCCGAAGGCGTGGAGAAGTGGGATCAGGCACCGCCTCAGCCAAATCCTTTGGTTTCTTAGGTCTTTTGTGTTTCGAAAAAGATTTGAAATCAAATTGATTCATTTGCTTATTTCCAAGAAATTAGAAGGAGCATATATATGTCATAAAATATACAAACTTGGGAGAGAAACACGCCCATAATTATACTCCCGCAGAACTTTGAGTGCAACCGGCTATCCAAAATGTTGTAGCCTACCCAACGACAGAAGTCCAGCCATTATCGATAGCGATAGTCGCGCCGTTGATCTGACCGGCGCCCTTTCCATATGTCATGTTCACACAGAATCCAGCAACCTCATTCACATCGACGTGGGGAGCTTGAATCGCATTGAGGACATTTACCATCTTCTCATAACCCTCCATATGCATCCCGGCGCTAAATGCATCAGCAATGTTGGTTTCCATGCCACCCATCATCAAAGCGTTGCACTTGATGCCCTTGTTGCCATAGTACGCAGCAGTGTTCTTAGTTAATCCGACTAGACCGTGCTTGCTGGCCGTATAGGCAGCACCTAAAAGAATCAGTCAATCTCAGATCCAGTAGAAACCTCTCATTTTAGTTAGAACATACCACTAGCCCATCCAGCCTTTCCGGCAACGGAAACAATATTAATAATGCGCCCATCAGGCTTCGGCTGCGCCAGCATGTTGCGAACAGCCAATTTACTCAGCAGAGCCGGGGCAGTGAGATTGATCGCCATGACGCGATCCCAAAGCTCCATGTCCAGATCGCCGATTGGGTCGAAGTGGTCCATGATGCCGGCGTTGTTGACGAGGACATCGATTTTGCCGAATTCGTCAATCAGCGTTTCAAACAGGCTCTCCACTTCGTTGACCTTGGTGATATCGGTCTTAATAGCCTTGAGAGGCCCCTTGGATGACAGTTCGGCCGAGGTCTTCTGCAAACGTTCCTCGTTGACATCGCAGATTACGACGCTGGCGCCGGCTTCTAGGAATTGGGTTGCAATTGCTTTGCCTAGGCCACCGCCACCGCCAGTGATGAGGCATGTCTTTCCCGCAAGGATTTGTTCAGGCATTGTGAGTGATGATTAGGATATAGATAAGATCAATTGTGTGAGTCAATTCTCCGCAGCGTCAAGTGAAATCGAAATTGGACCTCGTTTAAATATTCTCCATTTTGGCGACGGAAGGCCTTCTACCCGCTTTCCGTTCAAATTGAACACAGTGGAATCCACTTTAGGCTTGATAGAGTCGGTTCAGGGGCCACATTTTCTGGGGTACCGGCCAGCCTTGAAGGCATCGGACCACCCATGGCAGTTGGCGTTGCCGAGTGATAATGTTGATACGGATACGGAGTACGGGTCTCCACATGGGTCTGGACAGGAGTAATATGCGGGCTGTATGCATGTTTATTTTGGAAAGGTAGAGGGTTAAGATCGATCAAGAAACCTGGACATTCCTGTGTTATACATACATAGTAGTATTGAATTCAACTAGGATTCGATTCAGAATTTAAGCTTCTTTCCGCCTGGGATGGGTTGGCCTATAAAGTGGCATGCAATACACATCCGGGTAACGGGTAAACATTGAATTTATGCACGGTCTTCATTATCACGTGAGGTTAATGCACGGAAGCGTGTCTATCCGAAGGCCCTTAGCCCTGATTCCTTGTTTAGTGCATGTCTCTAGCCTTCTAGTCTATACCTCTACCTACATTCTAAGTAGTGTTGTATATAATCTTGGCGGGAGTAAAGCTCATGAAGACCACTCTCACACCATCAACTTATGTTGCGTCATCTTTACAGCCATCGAAAGCGTCATGGATCGGGGGTGTTTGATCTATCTCCCGCTCTGAGTTCAGCTTCTGAAGTAGCAATAAAGAAGTTGGATATCTTGCCCCTAGTCTCGTGATCTGCACTGCCTCTTGATGAAAATATGAGTATGCATACTTCCAGAATACGAAGAGAACGATGAGAATTACTGGTTCAATGCTGTCCTTGTACGACCACCCCCACGACGAGTACGACCGCCATGACGAGTACGAGCATGCGGCTTGCGTATGTGTTCGCGAGAGCATATGGTGCTTGTGATGGAGGAGGTGATTGTACGACCAGTACTGATAGAGGTGACATTTCGATGCACGCACCATTCACAATATGTGGGGAAACGAAACGGAAAAAAAAGTCCCAAAAAAGAAAAAACCAAATCGCGCTGGACAACGATGTGATGGTAGTCACGGAGATAGGCAGGAACTCAGATTTAAGCCACATCAATGGACACCAATCCACTACCTGTGTACCATTGAGCTGGGAGATCAGATGGCCGCAGCAAGATCAATCATCGATCGGTATCATGGTGGCCTAAGGCTTCGCTGAAGCTATCCACGGATTGGGAAGGTGCGACGTCTCCTGCGAGTATAACCATCCCCCTTCAATTTATTGCTTCTCCGCGTCTTCCTCATCCGAAAATTCTCTTGAAGTTTGACAGGCACCTCAATCACCCACAGTTCCATGTCTGAGGCTGCACTGGAACGCACATCTGCTGGAACTGGCGATATGCAACCCGGCGATGGACCCCATTGACGGTGTGACGGCTACCGGACCGATCTTCGTTGGCAGCCTGTTGGAAGGTGTCTTTGTATGATAACTTTGGGGTGTAGCAGTTTGCCATATAACTTATTCTTGATTGCTAATTTGAGTGAATTTGGATGTTGATTACCGAGGGCGTGAGCGCGTATGACATCCTTGATGCCGTACATGGCGTATTCAATTCGTGTCATGCATACAACCGAATTTAACCTACATGTAGCGCCTTTCCCGTCTGGTCCAACTACAAAGTACATATGTTGATAAATAGTAATGAAATGCTCCTGTCTTCATTTCTATTATTTACACTCCATTTCCCTCGAGCTCACAGAATGCGTAACCCGGGCAGTCTTCCAAACCTTATCGCATTGGTTAATTGCCACTGACAACATTAATGCATTGATTTCAGGCCTTCACAGGTCAGTGCATGTGCATCCACCTCGCCACAGATACGCTTCGAGAAAAATAATAATTGAGGAATTGACAGATCACCCAGTGGCAAGGACGCGCAAAGCCAACTGGGCGGTCTGAACGTACGATCACCCCCCCAACTCCTGGCATTATCAAACCAGCACCAAGTCCGAACCCACAAGCCCACACACTAGATCGGCACTAGATCCCACTAGTATCGGTGTGCATCGTGCATGTTGGGGTTCATCGTGAAGAGCGGTATGATGTGAGAGCTACCCATCAGACTAATGTTGGTGATATCAACGGGGTTGTGGCTCCTGCTGGTAGCGGGCAGGAACATTGTGCAACTTTGTTTCGAAGATCGGGTCGCTCAGTTCTGAAATTTTAGGGGAAATGCCACCTGCTAGCCCGTGGGAAGGTTTGACCTACCGGGAAAAGTGTATGCGGTATACGGTATAACATGCGGTATGGAGTTGACCAATTGGCCCTTATCTGGGGGAAGGGGGCTGGGGCAAGGTAGTAAAGGGAATAATCTTCCATATTTAGCTTTCATTATTGTCCTCGAAGTTTATATCAAGACAACAGCCCTGGGGCTAGACTTTCTTTCCAGTACGGAAAGTGGGGAGTGTATTCTACTCTTTTTTCAACTCAGCGATAACAAACCTTGATCGTAACCAACAGTGATCATGTTCGCCTGTTTCTTGTTAGGCAGTGTTGTGGCCTATAACCTAGTCATGGTTATTTATCGTCTTTATTTTCACAAACTCAGTAGGTTCCCAGGGCCTCGCCTTGCTGCCGCTACAGGGTTGTATGAGGTTTACTTTTCTACCTGGGGTCCTGGCATTTTTGAGTATGAGATTGACAATATGCACCGAAAGTTTGGTATGCCGTCTGGGATCTATAAGAAGGTTATTGAATCTGACAATTTCTAGGTCCGGTTGTTCGTATTACTCCCGAGGAGGTCCACATCCAAGAGCCGTTCGGGACATCCAGCAATTCTGACGGCTGGATCAAAGGTACCCAGGAACTGGGATCTGGCTATTACCAAGGACGCAGCAACCATGGTTTCCAGTACAAGAGACCGTCAATCTCCCGAATACGATCTCTGCTCCGGGTGGAAGTCAATCATATTATCAACGCCTTCATCGAGAAACATCAAGTGCATAGAATGTTTAGCTCAAGGCCTCGACTATTTCTCGTCTCCACTTGGAGCGAGAAGAAAGTTCAGCCAGTTGGAGAAAGTGAAATTGAAGGAGATGCTCGTTCTTCGCAATCTAAGTTTATCCCAACACTTTGACATCTCAAGTCTCCGACATACATGACATACATCGCATCCGATTTTCTGGATACGAGTGGAGTCAACGACCAAGCACCTGATTCGGATGCATTTTGGTGGTTGACACAATGTTGCCATTGAAGACCTGGTGAGAGTTGGGCTTGCGAATGGTTAACCCCGCGAAAATGTGGAGTTTGGCTTTTTTTTGAGGCCAATGGATGGCAGTTCCACCAGCATATTCCATCCACAATCCGACATGTTGGTCTCGACAGTCGGACTTTATCGGGGGAAACAGGGAAAAAAGAACAAGGCACAAAGAATAAAGACCAATAGGCGACCTCGGGAGAAAGGAACCACGGCAGATCCAAAGGTCAAATAAAGCTAAAACGTTTCAGGAAGCTTTCTTTACTGAACGTCTCAAAACGCCCCGCTTCTCCGATTCTGCCCTCTTTTTTTTTATTAAATTGTCCAGCAGCCACTTCGACCAATTCCTCTACATCTTTTGATTCTTGCCATCTTGCCTCTGCGCACACATCCTATATCCATTGAATCGCCATGGTATGTTTGCGCCCGTGTGATATTCGCGAATTTCTTGACCCCCGCAAGCGCAATCCACCGCGAAGATCCCTGCAGACCCCAAGACAGAGCTAACACAATCGCGTCTAACAGCCTCACGCCGACTCCTCCTTTTTCATGCCAGGTAGCTCCAAGGCCGACATATACGAACAGCTCCTGCTGTCAACACAAGGTCTCCTAGACGGCCAGCGGAATTGGGTTAGGTGAGTCACGACCGCACAATTCAAAATATGCGCGCTTCAACAGCCGCAAGAACTCTTGAAAGAATGATTGCTTACGACCCACCAGCAACCTCTCCAACGTCGCTTCCCTCCTTTGGCACGCCTACGCCTCCCTCCCCGCCCCCTCCTCATCCGTCAACTGGGCCGGATTCTACATCCGCGATGACAAATTCCCGGTTCTCGCTTCACCGGTCTCCTCGCCGCCATTGCCTGGTGCGCCCAGTTCCGGTGGTGTGATTATCTCAACTACGTACTCTTCCTCAGAAAACCAGCTTCTTCTCCTCGGGCCGTTCCAAGGAAAGCCCGCGTGCCAGGAGATTCGGTTCGGCAAGGGCGTTTGCGGCACTGCTGCCGCGAAGCAGGAGACTGTTATTGTTCCTGATGTTCTGACCTTCCCTGGGCACATTGCATGCGACGCAGAGAGCCGCAGTGAGATTGTTGTGCCTATCTTGGTTAATGGAGAGGTTAGTACTTATTCCCTGGCGACGTTGGCGCGGTTTCTGGATATACAATTGGCTTTGGAGAAACATACTCACATCTTCATTCATAGACTGTTGCTATTATTGACATCGACTGCACCGAGCCCTCTGGATTTGACGATGAAGACAAAAAGTACCTTGAGAAATTGGCCACTTTTCTGGCCGAACACTGCGATTGGTAAAAGCAAACATAATATTTTTTTATAATGGTTACGAAAGACACGGGAGTAGGTAAATGAAATTGTTCGGTTTACGATTACGCATCTAAGTGGTTGTTATTAGTTATTACTGATAATGCACGGGCAAGGTAATCTGGGCAAGAAGATTACCTTGCCCGTAAGGTCAAAAGCCTAGTTGATTTTCTTCCCACCCAGAGCCTGCTCCCACAACAGGCTCTGGTGTAGTTCTCGCTCCTTACGCAGAATTCTGCGCATGCGTCAACGACTCATGAGCCACAAATAACTCGTTGTGGCCAGTTGGCCCCCTTCGACGGAGCCTGGTTCTGCATATCAGGTATATCAAATTCCACCCAGAACAAAACCACATTGAAAATCACACCGTAGTAAGATCAGTTTGCTCCAACAAACCCAACAAGGCATGTATTTTCCATTGGAAAGTTGCCGGGAATCAAGGCGGGAGTCGCATGCCGGTATTCATCTTGCACGAACCATCTATGCAACGTGCAATATCGGCGGTGAGCGAATACATGGTGTGCTTGAGGTCTCATACGTCTGCCCGTTCTCCTTGAACGGAAAATAACTGAAGCAATATCGAAGGTCGCATCGGGGACCGAGCTTTTGCCTTGCTTTTCTTGTAGATTTGTGTCGGGCTTCGAAAATTTCATCGCCGTGTCGTAGTTTTTCGTGTATTCCCGATCACAGCCTTGTCTATCGTCGCCACTGACCAGGCGTATTAGCGATGTACCCGCGGATATATATGTACTGGATACACTGGGGAATGGCATTGTAGCATGACGCCTGACTTAGGTAGTAAACTGTCTCCGGGATCGAGTGCAATATGCGAGCTAGGATTACCATCCTGTCAGAAGGTTATCACCCCTATCACCCCTATCACCCGTCGGCATACGGGGTACAGCATAAGCCCTTGCCCAGTGTTGTGTTCCCTCATATTGGCGCCATTGAGCACCCGAAGTGGAGTCATGCCTGACAGGGGGTAGATCTATTTTGTTGTGGTCACTCCGAGGTTGTTAGAATGCCTATGATGTACAACGTAGGTGTTGATATGAACAAGATTGTGTATTTACGGTTGAAATTTGACAATTGAAAAGTTGTATATTTCAACTCTCCAGGTTAGTCTATTGCATGAAGCACTTCTATATATCACTCAAACATTGCTTATGTTTGGACTAGATTACGCCCGGTGCTTTTCGCCACTATATTGTATTGTAGATAATGTAGGGCATGATCGGCGTTATAAATGAGTTAATTAGCACGTTCCTGACTGCATTTGACTGCATTTCCACTACCAAGTCTCTACACGCGTTGGAACAGCGTTGCATGGCACGATCAATAAGCTTCGGGATCCCTTTAATCTATGACTGTTTGCAGACTGTATATCGATCTAGTACCTGACATTATAATTGTCCCACACATAGTTTCTGCAACCGAAATGAAGCCAGCCGTGGAAGGCGCAAATTGAGGAGATACGGCAGTCTACTATATGTTGTAGATCTCGGTTTCTCCACGCCCGGGAGTGTCGCAGTGTGATTAGGCAGGGCGTTTATGCAGCTAAATCACACAGAAAAATTATTCAGACGGGCGCATAGAGTGGACTTTATAGAACCACGCATGAAGATACATAGGAGTCTAAGGCACTGATACTTAGCGGCCTATCATTGACTTGTTCTGACAATCTTCCATCAACATCCGATATAGTGCAAACGGAAGTGACAAAGGAATGGCCATGGTATGGCGTAGTCTCAAATCGAAACATCGTGTTGTTTCCACTTAGGCATACCCGGTCCTTGCCAAGTAACCCTACCCCCTTCGGGTGTTGGGTTACCACACCGTAATGTAAACTCTTGCTCAATGTAAATTTTAAAGAACGCATGAAATATTTTTGCATTTTTCTCAACGTACAACGCCTATAAAAATCTAAAAAAATCCTAACAAATACTCAAATAGTAGATATATCATCCATTGGTGGAATCCATGGAATAAAACGGGGTGCTGGGGTTGGTGTATCCTCCGTAGTTAATGGCTTCGAAATCCGCTTTTTCAACCGCCTCTCTTCTTGCACCTGCTCTTTCGATTCTCGCGCCCGGATAATTCGATTGGCATCACCAGCAGTAAGGGGGCCCCCTAGGTTGATCTGGCGCTTGGTAATACGGGCATCTCGGTGGACTTTATGGCGTAACAGGGTGGTATTGTCCTTAGCAAGCTGCGTAGCTAGCTCCGCTGAAATTCGCGCACTCCGGCATAGTAGCTTTGCTCGGTGCTGAATAGATGCATAAAGCTCGCTATCTAGCAATTCGATATCTGCCTCCAATTTACGCGTACTCTCGTTTGTACGAGAGATTCCACGGGGTGGTGAATTGGTAATAGAGCTAGGAAAATCAACCTCTGATCCGTCGTCTTCACCAAAGACAACTAGATCATCCCCGTAATCCATAACTTTTTCAAGCGGATTAAGCACCTTTTCATAGTTAAATGGGGAAATGCCACAATTAGCAAATCCCGACTTAATTACTCGGGTGGTGAGAGCATTGCGAACAGATACAATTTCTCGAAAAAAATCCGCTTTTCGGTCCACCGATCCACCCCATTGAACAACAGCGTTGTTATTAGACTGGTAGCAATGCTTTAAAGCAAGAAAAGGCTTGCTATCTAGCGGCTGGCAGATATGCGTCGTATGGGGTATAAAGCAATAGGGGATAATGCTATTCTCCGCTGCAAAATTGATGAATTCTGGAGTACGGTGGGATCCATGGTTATCCATTAACAAAAGGCGTTTACTACCCCGAGTAGTACGATCCTTAGTTGCTAGATGAAAAGCGCGAAGCCATTGAACTGCAGTTTGATCTGTAGTATACCCACATGGTGTAGTTACTAGGGTATAATCCTCCGGAAGGTTGGTATCTTTATACCAATTCTCCATATGGAATTTACCCCTAACTAGGAACCAAGGTGCCATCTTCCAGCCATCGGCAGCAATACATTCAATGCCGGTAATACCCTCAGCAATACCTCCATTTGGTGAAAATAGAGTCTGGCTTTTTGAAACGACTTTTTGAGGCTTTCCTTGGCCAATTTGGAAGCCAGTTTCGTCGAAGTTGTAGATATCCCGCTGGCTTAATTTGTTGCTTTCGATATACTGGTTTAAGCGCTGGTACCAAGTAGTCAGATAGCCAATATTTTCAGCCTCCATTCTCTTCTTTTCCTTTGGTTTTTGTTTTATAAACTGAAGGTTATGGGTAGGTGGGATACGTTTTAAAAACCGGTATACCCAGTTTTTATCAACCGGCGGACGCGACGTGTTTTCTTCCGCATTGGCGCGTTGAATCATTGAATTAGCGCACCCTTCTACCATTCTAGCAGTTGGTGGAGAGCAAGCATCATCTAATATAGTGATCCAGCTAATTAGGGCTTGCTCTTGATCCGGATTTAATGTCGAATTGGTAGGACGGCGCGTCGAACGAGATCCCCGACCGTGAACCCGGTTATACAACAGATTGTAAGGAACGCCGAATTCTCGCGCCAATGGGGCTATTTTTGGTTTTTTTCGAGCATGCCATGCAGAGAGAACGTTTGCAAGGGTATTCTCCAAATCTGGGTTTTTTTCCGGCATGTTGGTAGGATGTAAAATGGTAGTAAAAATGGTGGGTGGTGTAAAATTTACATTGAGCAAGAGTTTACATTACGGTGTGGTAACCCAACACCCGAAGGGGGTAGGGTTACTTGGCAAGGACCGGGTATTGTATAGCGTTCACACCATACCCATTTAGGAGTTAGTGAGTGGATACCAGCGGGAATCAGGGGTATGTAGGTGGTTATCCGTAGTGACTTAATCAGGATATCCTATTTAGTCGTAGCAGCGCTTATATCATTGGTATAGAGGGAATGATCTCGATTGATAAGTACCACAGCCCCGCAGTGAATGACCAAGCTCCGAGGAAGAGGCTACACCGTGCTACGGAGTACGTACCTGCCAGTGATCCCATGCTTACAGCCATACGGAGTAGTAAAGACCTCATTGGTGGCTTGAGTTGGGGGCTAAGTTTGGGGGCCGAAGGGTCCAAGCGTATTTAGTGACTATATGGGCTCGGCGTGAAACAAATGACTTTTATTTTTCAAGACGTGGCACCTTGAGAGACAGGGGCTGTGAATAGGCCTTTCAGTACCCCGTACGAGTATGGGAATACCAAAGTACACCACTTGGCGTAAAAAGCAGTTTTCATGCTAACTCCATAACCCGCTATTAAGTAGTGAGAAATCGCCCAGTATTAATGCTAGTGGACCCTTCGTACAATCACGCTACTATTTTCTCCAAGTTCTTTCATCCCTTACGTTCCAGCGAAAGGCGTTTTCTTTCCCAGAGCGCGACTGACCACGCCTCGCCGAGTCCGATTCCAATCCATGCAAGATGGATGGGCTTGAGGTGGCTCCGGAGCAATACAGGGGGACAGGAACATTCGACAGCGGTCCTTAAGTAGCTCCTGACACAGAAAAAGAAGTCCGGACGGATACTGCGGGCTTACACTACGTTTCCGGACCAACAAGTGCGAACCCTGGCATACTTGAAGATGGTTCACTTAAAACGAAATCTCCCAAGGAGCCCAAGAGGATATGCGGAGTGACTTACACGGTCTTCTGGTTGCTGGTAGCTATTGCGATTTTGGTCATTGGTGGTGCAGTTGGTGGTGGAGTGGGAGGATCGTTGGCGAACAGAAAAACTACGTATGTTAACCTCCCAGGGCTCACTCCTCACAAGCTATATCAGCCTAACATAGCATCTTATAATAGTGTCGATTCAAGTAAACCGGGTCTCGATGCCACTTCTACAACCTCGACAGAACCACAGTCTTCTACCGCCACCGCATCTTCCTCTACAACCACCACTGCATCAACTACGTCCTCCGCCCCTATTACGTCGGGCACAATAGGCATCGCTGCAAATCCGTGTCCCAGACAAAACAAGACAATAGAGACCGGATCTGATGGGTCGATATTTACATTGCTGTGTGCTGTCGACTGGCCACGCGGCGGGGAGCCGGCATACGGCAACGGAAGAATCAAAGATCTGAGCACTAGAACCGAGTATACTTTGAAGTCCTGCATTGCCCAATGTGTCCAATGGAACCAGAATACCTCAAACGACCCGAAATGCAAAGGAGTTGTATATTCTGCAAATTTGACTGCTTCCTTTGACGGTGGACAGGGGGGCAATTGTTTCTTGAAAAGTAATGTCGGCAAATATTATCCTAATAGCGATACTTCTATGGCCGCGGGGATCTTGGGGGGCTGACGCATATTGTTTAATAATACCTCATGTTGCTCGTCCTTCTATCTCTTCCTCTATTCCAATCGATCGTGAAGCCAACGAGGATTTGGATCACAAGGCGCCTTGGATGAAGAGAACGCGAGGAGAATGTTCAGTAAAGCTCCGTGTCGCGTGGGAATCTCTCAGTCTGCTACTTCCACTCCACTTAATCTTTAATATCGATTAATTAACGCTCTTAATCACACTTCCAGGGTTTGCAGCGCCCACCATAAGCTCGCTCAGTCTAGTGCGAGTTGCGGTTGTAATCACAAAGACGATAACCGATGATCACTGCTCGACCACCAACTGTCTCATTACACCATCTCCTACAGGCAACCAAATCTCATCTCCGACCTTAAGGAAAATGACGGCCAATAGCCGTCTTACGCGCTCCATGGTCCAGAAAAGTAGAAATACGATGAGCAGAAATTGGGCAATTCTCGTCATTCTAGATCAAATTACAGCATTCAAAATCTAGAGGTGACAGCAGCAAGCCGCGAGACAAAATCAAAGTCGACCAGCCGAGGCCTTTCTATTCAAGCCGTAGAGGCAATATGTCATGATCTATTGACACGATATCCCAAGACGAACAGTACTGCAGATGCTTCCCTGCCCGAGATATGTCCGAAACAAAATGGTTACAATGCAAACCAAACACCGAGCGAACCTCATCACGCTGGGTTTGAGAAATGAAAACAAAAGAAAACTCCGAGGCCCAGACGTTGAAAAAAGGTATAGAGCACAAAAGAAAATCGAAAATCGCTAACATGCACAAGAACATCACATATTGAGCAAGCTCATTTGCCGACGCATGGGACTGGGCGATAGAGCATCCCCATCTTCACTGGGACCGATGCCGCTATCTGTACCAGCGAGCACGGTCTCCATATCGATGTCCCACTGTTCGTCTTCATTGGGATCACTGGTCAAGTCCGCGTCGGCATCACCACCATCCCAGCTCTTCTGGACCGCGCCACGGGTGTTCCACCGCAGAGCACGCTGGACACTCGTGAACCATTCGTTGTTGTTGGAAACGACTGTCGGGAATGGGTACTGGCTAGCTTCGACAGTGACGTAGTCGCCTTGGCGTAGTTCGACGCGGCCCTTACCATCAAAGGAGCAGTAAGCGGTGGATCGGGAGGATTTAGGGACCGCAATACGGAGGAGGTGGGAGTCAGAAAGGACCATTGGGCGGAAGGAGAGGGTGTGTGGGCATATTGGGGTGAGGAGGATGCCTGGGATGGATGGGTGCATAAGAGAACCGCCGGCGGATAGAGAGTATGCCGTGGAACCAGTCGGGGTGGAGAAGATACAGCCGTCTGCTTGGACGACTGTTAGCAGCTCGTCGTCGGCATAGAGCTCCAGGTTCGACACATAGGGGGATGGGCCGCGGTCGATGACGAGCTCATTCAATACTTCAAATTGCTCGCCTTCCTCGACAGCGCCCATCTCTGCTCCCTTGCTCCGGTCTTTCCGATATACGGTACACGTGAACCGCATGCGCAGGTTGACACGCATGCCCACCTCGCCCATAACGGCATTAAGCTGTGATTTATAGTCGGAAAACTCGAAATTTGTGAGGAAGCCCAGGCTGCCTAGCGAAAAACAGAGCACGGGCGGAACCACGCGCTGGAAGAGCCAAGATGTGAAGAGAACGGTACCATCACCACCAAGCGTCAGCACCAAATCGAACTTATCTGGTGATGTCCAGCACAGATCCGGTGTCCAAAAATGTAACATTTGCGTAAACATCGGGTCTTTTTGCAATAGCCCCGGAGCATCAAATCGTTTCGAATTTCGCAGCTTCGCATCAACATAGACATTGACTCCTAATTCACTTCCGTATCTTGAGGTCGAAAGCAGCCACTCGGCAACTTCCCGAGTCAAGTGTACCAGGCTGTTATCACGCGCCTTGGTAACAATCATGACATTTCGCACCGCTCGTTTGATAGGTCGTCGCTGTAGCTGCTTCGACACTTCACGAACTCCAGTTGCCGTCTGAACTAGTCGCGAATGTGACAGCCACTCGTCGTCGGCGATTTCCTCCAACACCTTTTTTATGTTGACAGCATCATCGAAGCGTTGGTGGAAATAACATGGCGATTGCAGTATTAAACGTGCCGTGGCAGGTGATCGATCGAGATATCCGTTCAATTGAAGATTTGATAGTGCGGTAGAGAGGTTGTGAGAGGAGGCATTGCTCCCTCGCCGTTGTTGGTTGTCGGAAGGCGGGGAAGCCTGGGTGGGTTTATTCGCGAGCATATTCGACAAGGAACTCGCCGCCAGATCAGCGTTATTGGTGAGGATCGAAGCACGAGAGGCCAGGGCTTTCAAAATTGTCTGTCGCGGTATACAGTCGGTCGACAACGCTTTCTTCGATCGTCGATTAATCGACTTCCGTCGAAACTGCAGTAATGTTGAGGAAGGCAGCGACAAGCCGGCCTCTTCTTGAGCCGATTCGGATATTTGTGTAGGTAACACGTTGTTTGTTCCTTGAGGGAGATCTGGGCGATTGTCCTGGGTCGAGGGTTCTATGCTGAGGGCATCGCGGAGGTGCGCCGCGGTTGTTGGGGGTGGGGCTTGGGTCGGGGATAGAGAGGGGAGAGATGGGGGTTCTGTAGATTGACGTGAAAGAGTGTCAGACCGTAGACGATCACGGCTGGACGCCATCGGCTTAAGCGGCAGGTAAATAAGATGGGGGAGTAATCAGGAAAAGTGCTCGGATGTAACGGGGATTGCGGATCCGAAGTCTTGAGATCGCAGCTGTGTCCCCCGTAAGTCGTGGACCCAGTTGATATTGATTCTAGCGTATTCCACAACTCTTTTTTGGCTTTTTTTTTTGGAAGGAAGGGGGAGGGGGATTTCTTTCTCGTTTATTTTTATTTTGATATGCCGGCAAGGACAAGGATGCGGATAAACTTGAGAGTAGCGGTGGTTTGGTAGGGCAAAGATTAACAAGGATTGGCATTGGCAAGGATAAAACCAAAAAAAAGAGGAATCCTTTTTAGGAGGATGACCGACCACGGACCTCGATAACACTAAATTAGGAGATTATTTAGATTGGTTTCTCATGGCGAGATTCCCCAGAAAATTCTATAATTGGTCGAGTCTGACTAGGCTAGTCATCGCCAAATGCGTACACTCGCGCAGTTGCGCTCAGATAAATGACGTTTACACTGTGATATCAGAGATATATCAGAAATAAGATGATTAGAATGATTAGAATGATTAGAATGATTAGAATGATTAGAATGATTAGAATGATTAGGATGCTTAGGATGCTTATAGATAATGATAGGTGGTATTTCTTTTGGATATTCCATTCTCCATATTACTTTGTGCAGTCTTTTGCCAGAATGTCGGTAAAACATGTATCCCTTCCAACCCTGACTCGAAGTGGGCCATCATTCTGGCTACACCTGCTAGGAGTATGTAGTTCCAACTGTCCGCCGCTAAGTCACTTGGTAAGATTGGGTGACCAAAACGTTCAAAAGCTGACGGGGTCCGTCCGGAATCCAACAGCGGGGGAGCCCGAAACAAGCCTCATATGCAGCAAGGCTGTCGCTTGTGGCAGCTGAATGAAGCGTGTCGTACATTCAGCGGCAGTCAGGTGACGGTGCCTTAACCGGGTGGGGTACTCGATCAACTGTTTTGTGGTACCGTTGTATCCCTAGTCGAGGGGGGAGATATAGCGTGTGCTTCAGGGAAGTCATGTGCACAAGAGAAGGGGATCTGGGGTTGACCGATCGACCTGTCCTATTTTATCGCGTCTCACTAACTCTCCGCAAATTTGCCGTGGGCGCAGTCCGCCTCAGATAGAGTCCATCTTGTAGGCGTAGTCACTGTAGACCTGGTCCTCCACGGTCTCCCGGATGAAACTGTTCAAACTGGCGTCGGTCGTTCCTTCGCCCATAGTAACGTCGCCATCAGCGCTAGCGATTGTCTCGCCTTGACAAATGGAGAGCGCACGCTCACGGACAAGTTCCCAGGTATCAAATTCAAATCGACCCTCGCTTTCGTTGAGCAAAAGGTGATTCTTCGAGGAGATGGCAAAAACATGGAGGGACACAGCAGCCTTGGCAGCAGTCGGGGAGGGATCCCGCACAATATCACCAGACTTGGTTACACCGAGGAGGGTCGCGGAGAAGGTCATCGACAGAGGAACGGAGGCGGATATCATAGCGAGCAAGGCAGCATGTAGGAGAGCCGGGAGGATAGTAAGGTACTAGATAGATTAGTCTGCCAGGTCGACGTAGTGTAGGAAGAAGGAAGATTTTGATATACTCACAGAGTCACCGCGTTCCACGTTCTCTCCTCCAACAATAGCCAGGGTGAGGACCACACCGCGACGGGGGAAGCCCTTCTCCCGTCCAAGGACGATTTTTCCTAGCACAGACCGCAGGATTCCTTCGATATATCTTTCACCGACGCCGGCAGTTGTCGTACCAGGTTTGACAAAGACCTCCACAGTGGCTTCTTCGGGTTTCAATGCGTCCCGACGTGCTGGGAGCTCAATGGGCGCGTTGACTGCGCCCAGAATGCTGTAACCGGTGGCTGGACATTTGTATGACGCTGAACCATCGGCACGATTTAATTGTGAGAGGAATGCTATCGGACCGACCATATTCACGATAGAAAGATAGAAATTGGGAAGCTTTCCAAAGTTGTGTTCGAGCAAAAAGTAGCAAAGTAGCGATTTTTCATGTGCGGGCCGCTCCTTGATTGGCCGCCTTAGCTGCGCTTGTACTTGGTACCTTGTCTGTCGCCGGTCCATCATATACTTCTGCGGTATCAACTACAATATTGTCATTTGTTGCTTTTCTTTTACCTGCATGTACTATGCCTGGAGGTAATTAGTTACTACTATTTACCTACGATGTGCATAGTACTCTGATCAATCCCGAGGTCTTCTTCCAACCTGACTTTGGACATGGCACATACACTCCGACCGCTCTGACCGTGACCGGTCTCGACTTGTCATCTCCGATTCGCTATTAATTGGGTCACTGCAGCGAGAGTGGATGTGTCAGTCCCAAGATGCCGAGCTCTTGGAATGCGGCCTATTCAGTTAGCCGAAGGATTGGCAAGGCGGCTGTGCTCATACAGGATGATGCAGTCGTGGACTTCGCGGAACCACCGATTTTAACATATAGGGCATGTCTGTTATCCGGTACTCGGCTCGTTACTGATGAGCTGAATACAGATTCCAACACCCAAAGTACGAGAGAATATCACTAGGATTCCGATGAACCGTCAGCCTTAATCCAGGAATAACACGCCACGACTGCCTAGAAGCCAAGTGCATTGTGGCTTCAACCCCGGAATGAGACGCCACCAATCCCGATGCAAGAAGCTTGGGGTCCCATGATTTAACTGGACAACCGCCCGGAATCTTTGAAGACTTCCGCCAGAGCCCAGAGGAGCCAAGCATTTCCGACAATGGGTCGCCCCAATGACATCGTAGCTTCACGAGGTAATCAGGCTGCCCCTCACAGCTGGGAAACCCCCTCTTCTGGTTGAAGGTACAACATAGGTGAGCATGTGCGCATTTTTGATGTACATGGCTATTTCTCGCATACAAATTCCGCTTCTAGGTTATCCCTTCCTCCATCTTGCTACTTCCACCTCCCCTTCCTAGTGCGAACATACTTTTTCCCTACTCTCAAGGTTGACGGGTATTCATCAGGGGATTTAAAGGCCATATAACTTGTTTCCACCGCTTTCTTTCCCACAATCTTATTGAATGGGCGTAGAGATAACCCCCGATGTCGAGGAATCGACAGAACCTCCTATATGTGGTTTTACGGAAACCAATCCCCAACCCAATGTGACAAACCGCCTACATACTAAGCCCTGCGATACCGACAAAAAGTCTATCCCACATACGACTGATCACACTACATCCTTGGAGCCCCAAGCAAGTAAAAAAGAGCCCGACCAGAACGCCCATCTTATAGAACCATCTGAGCTCGCATCCCTCCTCCACACAGATCTTCGGTGCGTCAGTGTCTGGTGTACTCCAATATAGACAGGCGTCCTTATTAACACACGTTTTAGAAATGGACTCTCCGGCACCGAAGCGGCCTCCCGCCTCGAGCGCGATGGTCCGAATACCGTGCGTGAAATGGAGGGTGTCTCCGTCTGGGGGATACTGCTAAGACAGGTGTCTAACAGTCTGACACTAGTATGTTAAACCACATAGATCTATCAATGCCACCAACAAAACAAAACATAGCTGACACAAACCAAGGTTCTTCTCATCACCATGGCCCTATCCTTTGGAATCGATGATTACATCGAGGGAGGTGTCATTACCGCAGTGATCGTTTTGAATATAGTTGTGGGGTGGGTATTTTCGAATCAGACCTTGTACTTGGGCTAAGGCTTCTCTTCTAGCTTCGTGCAAGACTACCGTGCCGAAAAGACAATTCTTTCGCTGCATCGTCTCTCCGCCCCAATATGCAAGGCTATCCGAGAGGGTCGCATTGCCTCTGTCAGGGCGGAGTCGCTGGTTGTCGGCGACATAGTCCAGCTAGTAGTTGGGGATATTGTCCCTGCTGACCTGCGCTTGTTCGATGGTATGAATGCTTCAATGGATGAAGCACTTCTAACAGGCGAATCCCTCCCCATCCTCAAAACTCCTCATGTAACCCTATCATTATCTGATATTCCTATCGGTGACCGAACCAACATGGCCTATTCTGGCTGCAGCACTACACAAGGTCGTGCGATGGGAATAGTCACCGCAATAGGGATGGATACAGAAGTTGGGAAGATTGCACAACTACTACAGACACAGCCCAATCTTCGCGACTCCAGCCGTCTTGTTAATGCGGGGAAACGGGTGAAAGCATTTTTCATGAACGTGTTGGGCTTGGTTGGTACGCCGTTGCAAGTGAAGCTGAGCAAATTTGCACTCTTACTTTTCGGACTGGCAATCGTGCTCGCCATTGTTGTCTTCTCGGTCAATAAATGGGATGTTCAAGGCGAGGTTCTCATATATGGCATCTGTGTTGCCGTTGCCGTCATCCCGGAATCATTGATTGCTGTCCTCACCATCACAATAGCCGTGGGTACAAAAGCAATGGCTAGGGGAAATGTAATCGTCCGAAAACTCCAATGTCTTGAGGCAGTGGGCGGTGTCACGAACATCTGTTCTGACAAGACAGGGACCTTGACCCAGGGAAAGATGGTTGCTCGCTCTGCATGGATCCCCGGTGCTGGGACTTTGACTGTGAGCCAGACTACAGATCCATTTGATCCGACGAGTGGTCTGGTCCAACTGGATGAGATTGATTGGAGCTCCAATCAACCCATCGAAGATAATCCTGCTCTGCATACCTTCCTACGAGCGCTTGCTCTCTGCAACCTTTCCACTGTCCACCATGACAATCAAATATGGAGTGCTGTGGGTGAACCAACGGAAATTGCTCTTCACGTTCTCGCTTTGCGCTTTGATTTTGGAAAAGACTCTGTGATTAAGAAAAGGCAACTTCAATTGCATACGGAGTATCCATTTGATTCTGCTATCAAGAAGATGACCGTTGTCTATGACAATTCACGGGATAGGATCAAAGAGGTGTACACCAAGGGTGCCCCGGAGACCATTATTCCTCATCTTAATATTGATGAAACAGAAAAGCAAATCATACGAGACACGGCCGATCGGATGGCGGGCGAAGGACTTCGCGTGCTATGCATCGCATATAAAACACCCCCAGCCGACGACGGATCTCAAATATCCCCGCGAAGCTCTGCTGAATCAAGCTTACGATTTGGGGGTCTTGTGGGACTCTATGATCCCCCTCGAGTCGAATCAGCCGCAGCCGTACGCAGATGCCAAATGGCAGGGATCACGGTGCATATGCTCACTGGTGACCACATCAAGACCGCGACTGCAATTGCGTCAGAAGTCGGTATTCTTGACCGTGTCACAGCAGTTGTCAAATCCGGCAGACTGGTAATGCCTGCGGATGAATTCGACAAGTTGACCGATGCAGAAATTGACGCGATTGAGGAACTGCCTCTTGTCATCGCACGCTGCAGCCCTGCCACCAAGGTTCGGATGGTAGATGCGATGCATCGGCGCCAAGCATTTTGTGTCATGACGGGAGATGGTGTCAATGATTCACCTGCTCTCAAAAGGGCTGATGTTGGTATTGCTATGGGCAAAAATGGTAGCGATGTTGCGAAGGAGGCTGCCGATATGGTTTTGACGGATGACAACTTCTCCTCTATTGTCAAGGCAGTTGAAGAGGGTAGACGACTTTTTGATAACATTCAGAAGGTAAACATATCCCATCAAGATTTTGATTTGATAACCTGACATTAATTTTAGTTCCTCATGCACCTGCTCATTTCAAACATTGCACAGGTTATCCTCCTGTTGATCGCTCTTGCTTTTAAAGATGAGGGAGGTGACTCAGTTTTCCCTTTGTCTCCCCTGGAGATCTTATGGGCAAATCTTGTTACGTCTTCATTCTTAGCCGTCGGTCTTGGACTTGAAGAGGCCCAGCCAGATATCATGTACAGGCCACCACACGACCTACGCATAGGTGTTTTCACCCGTGAGCTCATCGTGGATAAAATGATATATGGAACCTTTATGGGCACACTTTGCCTCGTCTCATTTGTCTGCGTGATATACGCCGCCGGATCGGGCACATCTTCTTTAGGTGATGGATGTAATCAGGAATACAATCCAAGCTGCGACGCAGTGTTCCGCGCTCGCGCTACAACATACGCGACACTTACCTTTCTTCTCCTTGTTACAGCGTGGGAGGTGAAGCACTTTTCTCGTTCCCTATTTAACATGGATCCGATCCGAAATCCCAAGACCTTCTCCGTCTTCCCCACCCTCTGGAAGAACCGCTTCCTCTTTTGGGCGGTCATGGCCGGCTTTGTCCTTGCTTTCCCTGTCATTTATCTCCCAGTCGTCAACCAACTGGTCTTCAAGCATCATGCTATTACCTGGGAGTGGGGAGTAGTCCTCGGTTGTACATGTGTCTACCTGGTGTGCGTTGAGAGCTGGAAGGCTGTGAAGCGGTCGCTGGGTATTGGGAGCGGAAAGAATGCAATTCTTACTCTAGTGGATGCTGAGACGCGGGCAGGACTGGCCACTCTTACACCACTATCAATGAGTGCGAATGCCAGCGTGGAACTAAAGTAATTTGGAACATGTGTCTAACTGGTTCAACACCAAGTCAGCCATGAATTGTTGCCTCCAAGGCGTTCAACACGCTCCTATTCATTCATTTTACAATCTATATTTATGTTTCCAGATTGAAACAATTTCATACGTCTTCAACTAGCATGAAATTTTGAAATTTGCCCGGTTTAAGATGATCATGTCCCATCCAAACAATATCATATCCCCAAAGAAACGAAAAGAACATTGGGGGACATGTGCAATAAATTTACTGACATCCAACAACAATCTGAGGCATTTAGAAGGCAGAAAACTCCGCGCAGTCCACGTTCACCTGGGCAATGTCAACTACTACATAAGCAGTCTTCGTGCTGGGGCAGCTGCAGGTGCCCCGGCTGCCCTGGAGTGCGTGACCTTTTATAGCGGCCTTGTCAATGATCTACTGATCAAACTGTTTGTACTCTCGAATCCCTGTCTGTCGATCCGTCAAGAACGACACCAAATCAGCTCTAAGTATCAAATAATGGTATCTATCTGGCGGTTCTCCATCGACCGATGGATGGTGCTTCTTCCTGCGGAGACTAAGCCTAATGCGGACATAATATTGATCTGATTGGTCAGCACCCTGACCTCGCGAAGCTTCTCAGGCCGAGGTCTCCGCGCCCTAAAGTGGATTTTAAACCGTTGTGAAGAATTTACGTTTATTCAACGATGAATAATCAGTTTTGATATGCTGCCCGATGTCCCTGGCATGTTTGAGCAAAGGTTCGATTAATAATCGTCGCAATTGATTTGCAACCAGTCCGGGCTGGCAAGACAACAGGTAGTTGGATGTGGGATTTACTGCGAGGACGCGAGGGGGCCCCTGTACAAATTGCAGGAGAATGGCTCGATTGATAATCGGGTTTGAGATAACAAAGGAGGGGCAGGTGACAAGCAGAAATTAAAGCCTGTTTTGTGAAGATTTTACATTGGCAATGTCAATGTCAACTAATGGGAAACATATGACTTGGGATACGGGAATAGATCAAACTCGCATGGTAGTTAAAGAATGTGGGAATAAAAATGGTGGCTTTGTGGTTCTCTGAATCATCTAGTAGACAGAAAATAGTGTCTTAGTGTCTTATTCACGGGGTCTCGGAAACATTGTAGACCAGCTTCTCGCCGCTGACCTTGTCCTCCTGGAGCAACTTCAGGCCCTCGAGCACACCCTTCAACCCATGCTCGCCGACCCTAGGGGGGTGGACCTTAATCTTTCCTTGGGCAAGCAGACTCTCGGCAATGGGAATGAACTTCTCAGCGTGAGCCCTGTCCTCCGGGTTGGCGGGGATAGAAAGATCTCCAAAGGAGAACGCCTCGCCGATGGTGGAATAAGCCAGGGTGAAGCGGTCGTTCACATTGGCACGGTCAATTTTGACGCTCAAGAGAGCGCTATACTCGCCGCCATCGGTGGAGATAGCATTGTCGCAGAATGCAGCGCTGGACTCGAGCGAGATACAGTCGAATACGAGCTTCAGGTTGTTATCGGTGGCCTTACGGATTTCAGCGGGGGCCTGGGTGTCCTTATAGTCATAGACAGCATCGGCGCCAACGCCGCGGACCAAATCGAAGTTGCGCGGCGAGCAAGTGGTCAGGACCTTGTAGCCCGATAGCTTGGCAAATTGGATGGCTAGGGTGCCGGTCGCGGTGGAGCCGCCGTAAATCAGAATCGGAGTGGCATCCTTGATAGGTTGGGTGGGTAGTGCAAGCTTCAGACTCTGGTACAGACCCTGGCCCACAGTGCTGATACCCACTCCAAGTGTGGCGGCCTCCTGGAAGCTCATAGTCTCGGGTATCTTCCACTGCACGTCACCCTTGACGACAATGTACTCGGCGAAAGTACCATCCTCGGGCTGCACTGCATTGGAGCCGTGCGCGAATCCACATACGCGGTCACCTTTGTTGAAATTCTTTTTGACATCCTTGCCGACGGCCTCGACAATGCCTGCATAGTCGCATCCGACGAGGACACCGGGAGGGGCAAGGTAAGCAATGTGCTTCCAGTCGGTAGGGTTCAAGCCCACACTGACGGTCTTGACGAGAAGATAGTCATCGCGAAGCTTAGGGATGGGTCGATCGGTGACCAGGTCAGCGGTCTTGGGTTGGGTGATGATGACTGCCTTCATGTTGGGTAGTATAGAGATAGAGAAGGGAACTGAGAAGGGGAGAATATCGAGAATATGGAGAAAACTCAGTATTAAATAGTTCAATAGTCTGCTGATAAATAAATTGGAGAAGTATGACGAAATGACCTTGGGAACCTCGGGATATCCACTTTATAACCCCCACCTGCGGCCACTTTCTGGGGGATCGTTGCAAATATTGCACCGACTCCGTCTCATTCTATCCGCCATTCTCTCTAGCCCTTAGTGAACAGCGTTGGCCCCCCGGCCACACAGCCGTTATCACGGGAAAACGGAAAATGACATTGGGCATCTTTCGATTCATTATGAGAAGTAGGCCCCAATCGATACTCGTTCTGCCTACTCTGGGCCTTGATTTACTATGTAGTCTCTCGACCGATTTTCAATGTTGCGCACCAGGGATCATTGACATAAACACGAGTCGTGCAGCCAAGACTTTGACGCATCCAAAGCGTCCCTATTGACCATTGACCTGAAACGAAGGACTGTCGTGTCTTTCGTAGATTCATGGAAAAGAAATGACTGCATACCTTCCATACCCGTGGCCCAAAGGTCTATTCTTGACAGACGAATGGTCGACTTTTTGAAAGTAACATTTTCACCCACAATGGCTCACTCAACGAGCTTTGCTATCAAAATTGGTCAGTATATAATGCAATACAATCCCGAAATAACGTGCTAGAAAGACCGGGAACATGCTTCTGCTTAGAGGAGACTGATATCATATCCCGACTACTAGATATGCTAGGCTTGATATATGGAGCAAACCGGCAGGCAAACCACCCATAAAGGCCATAATATATTTCAACCTACACTTCAATGTTTCTATTATGTTTCTTTTCAATGCGCAAGAATGTCTGACATGCCAGTATATGAGGTATAAATGCCCAGGTGAGGTTCTCTCGCCTAGCTGGCGCAAGGGGTATCAGCCAAGATATGGAGCTTAAAACCAGGGTTCACGCCATTTGAGAATAATTGTCAGACCTATATTTTGTTATTTGAGTCCGAACCAACGGATTTGACGTCTTTTGACGTTTTTCGACGTCTTTTGACCTCTGTTCAATAACAAGGACGTCGTTCCGAATCGGCATATCGCGGGGTCAAGTCGGTTAGTGCTTATCTGCACACTCAACCCCTCCCAACTCAGAATTCCTCCCAAACTCATATTTTAACTCCAACCAGAATAACATGATGAAGGTTCTTTGTCTCCATGGCAAGGGGACCAGTGGCTCTATTTTCCGCTCCCAGATTTGTTAGCTCCCCCAATTCACGGGCTTTCCCAGATAACTAATCTCCCACTCAGCCACATTTCGCGCCAAACTTCCCAACGACATACAATTTGATTTTGTCGATGGTCCATTCAAGAGTGACGCCGCTGCAGGCATAGATATCTTCTACAGTCCGCCTTACTACTCCTTTTGGGAAAATGATGGCGTCGACTCCGTCCGAGCTACCTACAACTGGCTGACTGACCATATCGCCAAAAATGGCCCATATGATCTCGCACTCATGTTCTCACAAGGCTGCGTCCTGGGCTCTAGTGCTCTCCTATTCCATCAGGAAGAGACACCCCACCTCCCGCCACCGTTCAAAGCGGCTATTTTTGTCTGCGGTGGCGCCTCGTTGAGTGTTCTTGAGGAGATGGGCTTCCATGTTTCTGCCAAGGCGCGCGAGCGTGATCTTGCATCCCGGTCTGCGCTAGCTCAACAAGCTGGCACGTCGGCGGTCTTGGCCCAGGGTGGAGATCGGTGGACTGGCCTCAAGACTCTAGACAGCGGGATCTCGGAGGCCGAATTGCGGAATGAGATTACTAGCCCGTACCGTATCAATGTCCCCACGGTGCATATTTACGGCTCGAAAGATCCTCGATGGGCAGCTGGTGTGCACCTCTCCGGTATCTGCGAACCAACAAAACGTCGCACTTATGATCATGGTGGTGGGCATGAAATTCCTAGGACGGCTGCCGTGAGCAACTCGATCGCGGAACTATTCCAGTGGGCTGTTGCACAGAGTCAAATTCAACAGTGATGGTGTAATGTATATCGTCATGTCCTCTCACATGTCTTTGTTTTTTTTTTTTGGCTTTTGGTTTCCTTTGGATATATGGAATAGATAATATACATGGAGTAGAAATGCAAAATTCATGCCCTACAACTATGTATTCAACAGACAGCACGGCCTTTGACTACGATTTGAAGAACTTGATCTCCCCCCACGGACAGGCCGCAATAACTGTGGCTTCCAAATGTTGGAGCTAATATAACACCTTTATAATACAGATCGCCAGATCGGCAAGACCCGTTTGATCCACTTACTGCCTTGATGTTCAGGCAATTATCATCATCATTAACTAACTTAACTAACTTAACTAACTAGTTAACTACATAGTTATTGATTTTATGTTATTTCCAACACTAATTTATCCCAAAAACCCACATCTGAAAATAAACTCTATCGGTCGCCAATTGGTTTCATGGTTAGCCCTACGTTACGGCAGCCGGAATCGGCCAAATTTGACAATGCTTATTACATAATACATAATGGTAAGGTTCCGGCCCACTCGAAATTTCAAAATTTGACCTCAAGTGAATAATTGCCAATATTCATCATGTCATGGGATGAGACGCTCAAGTTCACGCGGGCCGATGAGTCCGAGGTGTTCGAGACATTCGAGGCACTTGTCAATGGAGATCTCGCGGTTGATGATGCAGTACAATGGGTCATAAGCACGACAATGGACAGGCTGGAAAACTATGGCCCAGGAGGAACTATCGAGAAGGCCGATGCAATAACTTTCATAGCTATTCTTGAGTTGGCTATGCAAATCGAGACAACTCAGTATGGTCCATTGGTTGAGTTCCTCGGAGCATTGAAACAGTACAATGCCGTCGATTCGTCGACTGGGTTAGTCCTAAAAACACAAGATGGAAGCAGAGTATGGTCACATCTACCGTCTCTGCCTTTCTGGGCTCGCGAAATATGGGATGACCGGGTGACACGTAAGCGACATCAAATTCTGTATTTCCCTCTGTAGCGCTAATCAATCCTTAGACATCTGTGACCCGGATATGGAGCCCGAGCAGCAAATCAGATGGGCAAAACTCAACGTCTTTCTCGCGCAAGTGACGCAAGCTGCTGATGTTGAATACACTTCCCCATTGCAAGTATGGATCAGCGATGCTATGGATCTATCTCACATGGGACTCCGTGGACTTCGCCATGTGTTCGAAGAGGGCATTCCTTCCGAAAAATCTGCCTCGACAGCTGGTCTGCTTGGTGTGTGCTACTGGCTAATTTGTGCCGGTGATAGACTGTGGGAAAATGTACTGAACGGCCGCAAATACAACAAGTATGATGGTCGACCGGGAGAAATATATTCAAATCGCGGTTGGAAGGGCTTTGAACGCGAAAGATGGGATATATGGGTGCAGGGCCTTCGTGACGCGAAGGCTGCCTGCACATCTGACCGGGAACTCGTGGAGGACTTGATAGACCGTGCTCTATCCAAAATAACGCGTGTAATGAATAATGAAATACCATCCACCTAACCTTTTTCATGATTGCAAAACAGAATAGAGGCGCTGGAGTGTTGGAATACATGGTGGGTATCTCTGCGACCGGCAATGATTTGGGGTCGATCATACCCTATGTAAGTAGGCGCATAGAAGTAGTCCTCGAGGACGAATCTGTAGGTAAACTCTTTGGTCCAATGTCTATCGGGATATATGACAATCACAGAGAGGAGAAGAAGGCATCTGTATTCTCTACAAACAACTGAGGCTAGCTAAGTAGTTAGTTGAGGCCTAAGTATCTACAAACTACCACTCTGGTGTCGCAAAAATGTACAAATAAATCAGTTTATTGGTCAAAAACATATATATGAACTAGATTTAGGACAGATCCTTCAAACCTCACAGAGGCTATTGATTTAGAGCTCAACTCAAACCGTATACATAGAAAGATAACGCCGAACCCACAGAGCCTCAACTACACATATTCAGAAACATAATTCACCTACCATGAGAATGTCTCTTCAAATAGATCAACCGTCTTCTCCCCTTGTACATTTCTGACAGCCTCCCGCACACTATCGCCCAGGCCACCAGGACCGCAGACGCTAACCGCCATCGCACCGATCTGATCTGCTTTTTCTGTTTCTAGCACGGATTGGATACACGGCTTGCCGTGGTGGATGTTGACCGGTACGCTGGGCGGAGCGCATTGCATCCACGGCGATTCTGGTTGTGAGATGTATTCCTCCATCGCGTCCTTATGTGATGTGATGTGGAGGCTGATGGAGAGGAGGAGCCGTGGAAATTGGAAGTATGAATGCCCGTTGGGGTTTACCGGGCTAGTAAGGGATTCGTGGCCTAGTATTTCGGCCATGAATGTTTGAATCCAAGTGAGATGGTCTTTCCATATGTTAGTGGTCAATTATATGTAACAGGCCGGGTGATCATACCTAGACTGCGAACGATCCAGACCAGATGCACCTTGCGAGTAGCTGTCTTTTGCTCGGTGAACGTGGCCATAACCTCATTCAAATATGACATTGGGTGGGTAATGCCGATTCCCCCAGCTATCAACAGTAGAGTACCATATGAGGCGAGACAATGGATACCACCTGTGAGACGTTAGCAAATATGTTTGAAATCATCAACAACCAACGTTTAAGGCATGGAAAACATACCAAATGGCCCCTCCGCCAATGCCATAGCCTGAATGCGTCCATCAGCGGAGTCTTCCGCCTTCTGGAGCAACTTTTTCGTGAATCCGTCTTGGCCCTTGATCAGGACAGACATGGTTGTAGTCAGCGAGCCTCCGGTGAGAGCGTCCAAAGAGTCATCCGAGCCACGCTTTTCGTTCATATTCAACGACTCCGATGTCGATGACCACGCAACCGTGAAGGGATGTGATGTCCACAAGCCCAGACAAGGCATGTAGAGGTACATATACTGGCCAGGACGGAAGCGCCATGCCCGAGCCACGGCCACATCAACGCGAGCAACAGACCCAGAGAGAACCTCGACTGTGGCAGTTGTGGGCCTTGAGCTAAGATTTCTCCAAAGTAGTATTCCAAGTCGACCTGCACGATCGAGACCCCACAGGATCAAGGTGCCAAGAAGCACACGTTGCTGCAACAGGTTTTGCAGGTGATACCAAAGCGCCACGAAGGAAAATACGGCCAGGGCTATGTGCAGGTGAAGGAATAGTTCGTAAAATGAATGTCGGGCCGGCGACAGAGATTGAATAAAAATGCAAAGGAACCCAAGGATGGCCTATGGAGATATATGTTAGACGGCCATCTGAAGTTCTGGTAGACTGCATCACATACCAGAAGGCCGCAAATAAAAAGCTTCTGTTGCCACATAACATATAGAACATATTCCGTGCCATCTGAGTTCGAAAGCTCGATGTTAGTGAATGATTGCATCATATATTTGTTCAAGGCCACTCACACATATAAGCCCGGTCAGCCAGCACGGCGCTCATGTGAATGATTGCGTTGGCTGTGATTACACGACCCACCCACCGATGCATGAAATTGAACGTATCGAACGAGATACCCAACAGCTGGATCAACGGATTGTTCCGTCCTGCGCCTAGGACCAAGCCTGGCGTATTCATGACTGCAAGATGACCCGCGGAGTATTTGAGCTGGAACATCTTCTCGGAGTAGTCACCGATCCACCAATCGACTGTCACAATAATAAAAATTATGTTCAAGCTGAGATAGACCAACAGGCAAATCACTTCCAGTCGTAGCGGTAGAGACCCCATATGAAGCCTCAAGATGCGGAACTCGCGGCTATGCCGATTGCCCCATATCGGAGCATATAGCAAATGCTTTTTCAGGGCCGCATTGAAGCGATTTGTCCGGGATAGCTGCGTCTGGTCGGTTGCGTGCTGTGCCTCCTTTGATCGTCGACGATGTCGGATGCGAATGACGGTTTTCCAGACAAATAAAATTGCTACCAGTCCGCCGACAACGAACAGAGGAACCGCAATCGTGGGGTTCATAGGCCGCTCCCCCGGGCCGTTTCCTTCGAGTTCGACACCCATCGTGCCATTCAATAGGCAAGGGGAGCTCGAGCTGCAGATCCACTAGGTACGGAGATCGTCAACCACAATGAACATAGATTATCCAACCCTCAAAGGACTCGAGACCGAGAAAGGGCGAGAATACAAGGTTTGGACGGAATAATGTTATAAAAGGTTTCTCGGGTCGCGGGGAAAGGAAAGTAAGACGTGGGCATCATTGGCGTTGTATTAATTCCTAGACAAGCTATAGACGCATGCCGTCATTGACCGTTGCAGGTCCCGCAACTTTATTATTTTGCAAAGACGAACGAACCCACCCTCCCGTTTACATGGTAAGCGTAGACAATTGTGTCTCACATGGCCAGTGTAACGTCGAATGGGGCGAAATGGATTTTGGTATGGGTGCTTAGTTTATTCTGAGTGGAGATGATGCGCTCAGCTGAGTGGTCAAGAATTCCAAATCTCTGGAAATTGCCCTGTCATGACCAAATCGAAGGGCATGTGGACCTCAGGATAATGTGGCGGACTGTGCCATCTTTGCAGGCTTAGGGGTTCTGGAAGGACGGAGGGATCGCCGTATAGACCCAGGCGTTGTTCGGCAACCCGAAAACGGAATGTTGATACCTGGTGTCGCTTTCAGCATTCTTCGTCCCCCACTCAGTCATGGGATAAGAACAAAGAGATGAGAAAATTAAAAATAACCATTTTGGTACCTGGATAGGGTCAACTTTGCTGGATAATTGCAGACCAATTGTCAGAACTCTCGATATCAAGACACTTAACGTGGACTCGAGCCTCGGATACTCGGTTCAATGGGATGCAACTGCAACGGTAGAGACAATGGTCAAGTTCGAGGTGGAAACTGTAGCGTAGCAACCTTGGAACCTTCCATATATGACGCCATAGTAACACTATAGTAAGACCCTGAGGCGCAAAGACTTCTGAATTGACTCGAGAAAATTGTAGGTAGGGGTCCGTGTGTATAGAATGACACCAGATGGACACTATTACCAAACGACTTCTCTCGGCTTTTACGCCAGGCCAGCAAGCTCCGTTGAGCCGGGTTTCTCGCAAGCGCCGCTGAGCAATCCGCTTCACAAACTGCCCGAAACGGTGAGTCGTAGCGGGGCTGCTGACTTGAACTAGATGGACAGCAAAAATGACGAGGCGAGTCAAATCTCGCCCCAGGAAAACTGGGCATGTCACGATGCGAGAGATCAAGGAGCAGGATATTTCAGATGAGTCAAAGCTCGAATACTTGTTGTATATAGTATCGTGACTACAGGTCAGGAGGTCCAGTCCAGTTCAATGAGATGCCCAGGTGCTCAGGTGGGTGGCCTAGCTTACTAAAATCGATGCCTTCGAAGGTTAGCTTTTACATTCCGTTACAACTGACAGTTTGTTTGCATACATGCCGCATACTAATGATACTGCGCCCAGCGCTCAAACCTTGGAAAGTTGAGCTTGAACTCCCTAATCTGAACCCCCTAACGTGACTATATTAATTACCTGCTAATAAAATAAGCAGAAGTTAGCCAGGCGATAGAGAATAGGCGAAAGGCGAAGTTAGATAATCAATATTCTTTCGAGCCTTGGAGCGCTTCTGTTACATCGCAAGGTCCCAGGGGCCTAGATTGGTCCATACATAAATACCACATAAATACACACCAAAACGGGATGACATAATAAAACATATAGATAATTTCAAAACCAAAACAGTGTTATTTCACCGCAAACAACTTGAGGGGGAAGCCCATTGAGCACAGACCATCAGGTCCCATTCTTACCTCTTTGACCTGTGACCTGTGTATTATGTCAGAAAGGAGACTGCAAGCTGGAAACAAAAGCAAAATGTCACTGTTCTTGTAGAGCCATCCATCGTAAAACCTGATTCTTGTTCAAAAAAAAAAAATTCGAAAATTCAATGACAAGCCAGACTTGTGGAATACGCCAGAGAAAACCGACATGGACTACCCAGCAAGATCCTCAGCTCCAGAACAGGATTGAACGCAGAATTGTTCTGTTAGTAGAATTGGCTCTATGGCCTAGAGATCTTCTATGGTTACCTGCCCAGGTTCATACAATACACATGGATTGATTCACATATCAGTTTTCAACTATGTGAGTTTGCTGTAATACCTACCTACATAGGTACTAGTAGTTACATATGTATGATAATGCCATTCTGTTTGGCGTTAGAGTTCACAAAAACGCTGTTCCTGATACCATTCCATTTCCCCCCTCATCTCCTCAGGACCAAAAAAGTGCCTGACCATAACCAAACTAGAAATACAAAAGCCGAAAACGCCGTCATTATTGGGTTTGCATAAGTGACACGGATGCTGGGGTCATTGTAGATATCAGCTAGGTACCTCCTGCACACTGGGAGGGGTATGGGGTACTGGCTGTCCATCTTCCTCGACAGAGAGGCTGCCATACCCAGTGTCATTGCTGGCTGATCGTTCCCGACGGAGAGCCGGTCTTTCGATAGGATGATCAACCAGAT